CCCCCCTTTGCGCCCGATTACGCCGTCGAGACGTCTGGAAGCTCCTTCCCGGGGGTGAAGCGTAGTGACCGTGCGCCGGCCCTCTCCCTTACCGTTCATCGTCATCTCCGAGAAGGCGTGAGCCAACTCCAGCAAGATGGCTGTCCCCACGCCCGACTTGGCGGCCCCCGGGCCCCAGGCGTCCCGCTGGGCCCCCATGATAATATAGCGATCTGTGGACCAGCAATAGTGAGTCAGTCGGTGGTAGCGACGGCTATAACATACCGACCCCACCCCCACAGCCCCTCCGCCTCGTCCCCTCCCTCCCTCCCTCGCCTCCTCCAAGCCCCGTCTCGAGACCCTCCTCTTCGACCCGACCGCGCCTTCGGTCGCACCCCACCGCCTCTACCCCCCCACCCTCCCCGCCCTCCACCCAACCCCCAGCTCGGGGGCCAAACCCCTGACTGTCCAGCGCCGTGAGACGTCCTCCTGATGCCGTGAAAGGCTCCGTGTAAATGCCATGCGTTGTTGTATGTTGTGATCGTGTGGGCAAAGCAACGGCAGCTCGTGTTCGTGTTTACACAGAGGCTTTTCACACGGGAGCACGACACTGAGTCGGGGAAGGAGAGAGAGAGAGAGAGAGAGAGAGTGGAGGTAGCGTCTCAGAGCGCTTATCCGCCAGGTAGGGTACGTGTGTGTCCGTCTGTATGTGGTGTGTCCGTGGTGTGTGTGTGTGTGTGTGCGCGCGCGCGTGTGGTATCTGTGTGTGTGGTGTGCGTGTGGCTGGGTGTGTGGTGTGTGTGTGTGTGTGTGTCTGTGTGTGGTGTGTCCATGTCTATGGTGTGTGTGTCTGTGTGTGTGTGTGGGTGTGTGTGTGTGTAGTATCTGTGTGTGTAGTGTATGTCTGTGTGTGTGTGTGTGTGGTGTCCGTGTGTGCGTGTGTGGTGCGTGTGTGTGTGTAGTATCTGTGTGTGTGGTGTATGTCTATGGTGTGTGGGTCTGTGTGTGTGTGGGTGTGTGTGTGTGTAGTATCTGTGTGTGTGGTGTATGTCTGTGTGTGTGTGTGTGTGTGTGGTGTCCGTGCGCGCGCGTGTGGTGCGTGTCTGTGGCGTGTGTGCACGTGTGTGTGGGGGGAGGGAGGGGACGAGGGGTTGCTGATCTCACCAGGCTCCTGCAAGCCTTCGATGGAGCCAAAGACGTTGTAGATCATCGTTGATTTCATGTCATTGTTGACTCCCATCTGGACCCGAAGTCCTGGGCTCTTCAAGTTGGGTCCCAGGTAATACAGGGTTGAAGGAAGACGCCCTCTCCACTCCCGCGGAGCCAGTCGCCCACTCAGTTTACTGTGGAGACAGAAGGCAGTAACATTAGTAATCTTTACATTGCACCCAGCGACTTATCAGGTCTTCTGGACGTCTCAAAAGCGCTTCGCAGGATTCACCGTGAAGCGTATTTTGTTCTGTGGGCGCAGAACGCGGCCGCCAATTTGCGCCCAGCGCCGTCCTCGCAAACCGTCACGGTTTATTTGAGGGGGGGGAGGGATTATTACCCCCGGAAAAGCGATCCACCGATCGACGGTCAAGCGGATTCCTAACCCCTGAGCTACAGGGGCTGTGGGGTGCGAGGCGAGGGGTCTAACCCCTGAGCTACAGGGGCTGTGGAGTGTGAGGGGAGGGGTCTAACCCCTGAGCTCCAGGGGCTGTGGGGTGGGGGGCGAGGGGTCTAACCCCTGAGCTCCAGGGGCTGTGGGGTGTGCGAGGAGGGGTCTAACCCCTGAGCTACAGGGGCTGTGGGGTGCGAGAGGAGGGGTCTAACCCCTGAGCGAGGGGTCTAACCCCTGAGCTACAGGACAACATGACACAGTCTGTGTTAAATGTGAATTGTTTTGTGTTGGGGTTGTGGGTTGGGGAGGCCGAAGCGGTGGGGGATCGGGGGGTGGGGTGGGGGTTTGGGGGGGAATCGATGACACAAGGGGGAAAGGTAGAGGGTTGGGTCAGGCGACCGTGTGGGCACTTACTTCATAAGTTTCTTGGCGATCTTGGAACTGATGGGCTGTGCCAGGATTTTGGGCAGAGCCGAGGAGGTGACCGGGGGGAACTGGGTGTGATTGAAGGAGGGGAATCCAGGGGTGAAGGGGTCCCCGGTGCCGAGGTGAACCTAGAGAGAGAGAGAGAGAGATCAGAGGCTAACACTGGCTGCAACTCCCCTGCACACTGCCTGACCAGAGGAGCACACCCTGTCTACTGCCCAACCCACCACCTCCGCTGGGCCAGCTCCGACCTCCTGTTCGTCCCTCGGCCCCTCCGGCCCCTCCGCTCCATGCCTTCAGTCGCTACGCCCCGAAACTCTGTCCCTCTCTTCCTTTCCTCTCCCTCCCTCCCTCCCTCCCCACCTTCAAATCCCACCTAAAGACCTTCCTTTTTGATGGTGCTTACGGTCACCTCCCCCACCAACCACCCCTCTCTCTCTCTCTCCCCCCACCCCACCACCCCCCGCTGGCTCGGGGTCAGACTCCCCCACTGACGAGTGACCCTCTACCCTGTGTGAAGAGCGCTGTGTAAATGCAAGTTGCTGATCTGCAGGACACGCCTGTGTATATGCGCGTGTTCCCGTGTATGGCAGGACTTACGTGTCCGTTGAAGGACGTGCTGGCAAGGATCCCGACCCCCCTGGGAGACTGGGGGATGTCCTCAGGGTCGGGGTAGATCAAGACTCCCACAGCCCCAAACTTCTGGGCTACAGCAACCTGCCACACACACACACAGACACCACAACAATAATCATAATCATAACTCACCACTGTTTGTGGGGACGTCGCCGGGCGCAATTGGCTGCTGCGTTTCATTCACAAAACACACAGTCACTACACGTTTACAGTGTATCCTGCGAAGCGCTTTGAGACGTCTCGAAGACTTGATAAGGCGCTGTATCAAATGCCAGGATTATTGTTATTGTAGGATTATTATTATTATTATTATATTACACACCTGCTCTGCGAAGGAGGTTTGGCCGATGCGCACAATGACTATGTTGTTCTTCACGGTGACGTTCATCTCATCCAATCTGATATAATCTTCCTCTCGGCCGTAGAATGCGTACACCAGACCTCCCTGTAACCACAAGGCAATCACCACCCGCACATCCCACCTCCTGCCCGGCTCGGCAACCACTGCGGTTCCAGGCTGCACTACGTGAAACTAACCCACACTGTGCGTCCGTCCACACTCCCAGGTCAGGGTTAGAGACACAGTAAAGCTCCTCTACACTGTGCGTCCACACTCCCAGGTCAGGGTTAGACACAGTAAAGCTCCTCTACACTGTGTGTCCACACTCCCAGGTCAGGGTTAGAGACACAGTAAAGCTCCCTCTGTACTGTGCGTCCAGTAAGGATGTCAGGAGGGATGGTGGAGGCAGGGACTGATTCCAGGACCAGCTGAGTGCTGTGATGGGGAGACGGGAGGGTAGGTGTTCTGGGAAGATGAGGTGAATGGGCTGAAGGGACCTTCTCTGAAGTTCTCTTGTGAGGTCTCACTTGACCTCAGTGCTGGGCTGAGAGGACCTGTTGCTCCGTGATGTCTAGCACCTACCGTGGCCTTGCCCTGTGCGCTGTACGCGCAGTAAACCTCCTCGTCCTCCAACTCCAACAACTCTCGGGTCTCGTTACCTTCCACCAATTGCACAAAGTTTGGTGACAACCTGGTGAGAAGGACACAGTTATCTCCAGAGGTCAGAGTGTGTGTGTGTGTGTGTGTGTCTGTGTAAGGGAGTGTGCGTGTATGGGTGTGTGTGTGGGGATGGGTGTGTGTGTGTGTATGTGGGTGTGAGTGTGTGTGTGTGTGTGGGTGTGTTGGTGTGTGTGTGTATGTGGGTGTGAGGGTGTGAGTGTGTGTGTGGGTGAGAGTGTGTATGTGTGTGGACGGTGTTAGGGCTGCGGGCATGTTGGGGTGACCAGAATCTCGCACTCGCGCCTCTGAGTCAGAAGGTTGTGGGTTCAGGCCCCCGCACCCCCCCACCCCCCACCACCGCAACCCCCCACCACGTCAGGACTTGGCCTCACGTCGTCTAAGATGACGCCCCAGTACAGCGCTGGGGGGCGTGTGTTGCATTGGTTGGAGCTGCCGACCTCACTCGCGCAGACCCCGTCTGTGCCCGTTCAGGTGGGGGTTAGGGACCCGGGGTTACCTGTTGGGGAAGGGCAGGTTGACATAGTGGGAGTCGGTCCACACATGGTTCAGACGGCGACTCTGTAGTTTCTGGTAGACGTATCGGCTGAGGACCACCTGCTGCTCGGAGCCTGACGGGTGGGAGAACTCACTCACCTTCCTGTAAAAGGGGGGTGGGGGAGTGGGGGGCGGAGACAGTGTGCGTGAGAGAGAGAGAGGGAGAGAGGGAGAGATGGAGGGAGGGACCTGTTCGCCCCACTTCGCTCCGCGGGTTCCAGCTATTCCACATCTCCCACCCGGCTCCCCCCACCCCACCATCAGCAGTCGGGCCTTCAGCCTCTCTGCTCCCACCCTCTGGAACTCCAACCCACAGCCCCTCCGCCGCGCTCCCTCCCTCCCTCCCTCCCTGGCCTCCTTCAAGGCCCGTCTGAAAACCGTCCTCTTCGACGAACCGCGCCGCCGGCGGTCACCCTCCCACCTCTCACCCTCCCTGACCTCCAACCCCCATCCTGATCCCAACCGCCCCCCCCACCACCCCCAGCTCAGGTCCAAACCCCTGACTGTCCAGTCCAGCGCCTTGGGACGTCCTCAGGCAGGGGCTGTGTAAGTGTTATCTGTTGTTGTTGTTGTGAAGGGATTGAAGCAGTGACGAGAGGAGAGAGCCAGAGCAACCTCCCATCTCCCCTCCCCATGACCCCTCGCTACCTGAACTCTCCCCTCTCCACCTCCCCTCCGCTGACCTGATGTTGTCTTCGATCTCCTGCTTGTCCAGGTATTTCTTCAGCATGGTGTGGAGGTCATCCCAGTACAGCTCTTTCTCCTGGGGCACGTAGATCTGATAGTCTGACTCGTCCTCGCTCATTGTGGTGGCACATTCCGAATCCATCTCCATGCAGGACTTGCAGCTTTTCCGAAAGGTAATATATCCCAGGAGGAATGCTGGCGGGGGAAGGGGGAGGGGAGGGGGAGAGGGAGAGGGGGGTGGGGAGTGGGAGAGAAGTTAAATGTCAATGTTAGATAATAATAATAATAATGATCCTTGCATTTGACCCGGCGCCTGATCACGTCTTCGAGACGTCTCAAAGCGCTTCACGGGATACACTGTCAAGTGTGGGGACTGTGTGTTTCGTGGGCGAAACGCGGCAGCCAATGTCCCCAATGACACAGCGACGTCCCCCAAACAGTCGTGGATTGAGTGACCAAATTATAGTCGATTCCCCCAATTGACTAACAAGCGGGTTCCTACTGACTGCGAGTAAACAGAGACGTGTGTGCGTGTCTGTGTGTGTGTGTGTACATGACTGTGGAGTAAGGAAACTTGCCTCGGGTTTCACCCTGACTTGACCCGCCTGGGAATCGAACCCAGGTCCTCTCGCTTGCGAGGCGAGTGCACTGACCAGTACGCTACAGGACACCACTCATCTCGTAGTTGCTCAGAGCTGCTGACCAGGATTAGGGCTGGTGTTTGGGGTTAGGGTTGGGGTTAACAAGGGCTGAGGGAGGGAGTGGTTGAGATCCTTACCGACGAGGAAGAGGAGGAGGCTGACAAGCAGCAGGTAGGTGAGGATTCTCCTCTTACTCTGAGGGTCCTTATTGAGCATGGCGGTTAGGTCATTGACCTGGGAGGGCTTAACCTCCTCCTCCATGTCCATCGTCATATCCGAGGGGTTCTCCTCGCTGAGCTCGGCCTTGCGGTAGATGGAGACGGAGTTGCGCGATGATCTCTGTCTGCGCTGTGGAGGCAACGACCCAGTGGCAGGTTAGACACCTACGCAGGAACTCCCCAGGGAGTACAGGGCGTGTGAGATGGTGCGGGCGGGTGTGTGCGGTTAGGGGCAATGTGAGTCCTTACCAAAGGGGAAAGCAGAGAGCTGAAGGTTTCCATTCTCTCTGGTCAGCCTTGCTTTCGGCAGGTGGCCGAGTGGTAAAGGGTAGAAATTTCTGTTGAGACAAGAAGAGAGATGGAGACTGAGTTTGGACTATGAGTGAGACAGGAGAGGAGAAAGGAATTGAGTTAACACTCCAGGCTGTCGCTCCAAGTGTAATAATAATAATAATCCTTGCATTTAATACAGCGCCTTACCATGTCTTCGAGAAGTCTCAAAGCGCTTCACGGAACATACTGTAAAGTGGAGTGACTTGTCTATTTTGTGGGCGAAACACGGCAGCCAGTTGCGCCCAGCGACGTCCCACAAACAGTCGTGGGTTGAGTGACCAAATTGCTATTATTTTTTATTCTTTCTGAATGGATTATTACCCTCTGGAAAAGCGATCCGCCAATCGACTTAACCAGCGGGTTCCTCCTCACTGCTCGGTGTACAGAGGCGTGTTTGGGTGGGGAGTCAGGAGACTTACCTTATGTTTTGCCCTGATCCGGGAATCGAACCCAGGTCCTCTCGCTCGCGAGGCGAGTACCTTTTGTTAGTAGGACCCGGGCAAGAATCTCTCTCTCTCTTTCTCCAGACCGGGCTGTTTTCTGCCTGCACTGAGCACCTTGCCAGTGGGTGAAGGAGAGAGATGCTTCTCCAAGTCTGGGACACTGAGATAGTGGGGAACAGATTAAGGGGTGGTGCACGGTCTTATCAGAAGCAACCAGACAGATACCCAGCGTGACTCCAACACAGCAATAATTGACCTGGTTTTCCTTGAGTAGGGACTTCACGAAATGAGTTTTGAAGTCATAAATAATAATAATAATCCTTGCATTTGACACAGACCCTTATCACGTCAGTGAGACGTCTCAAAGCATTTCACGGGATACATTGTAAAGTGGAGTGACTGTGTCCTTTGTGGGCGAAACGCGGCAGCCAATTGCGCCCAGCGACGTCCCACAAACAGTCGTAGATTGAGTGACCAAATTATTATTACTAACTGCTCGGTAAACAGTGTGTGTGGAGCAAAGAAACTTGGCCAAGGTTTCTCCCTGACCTAACCCGCCCGGGAATCAAACCCAGGTCCTCTGGCTTGCGAGGCGAGTGCTCTAACCACGACACTTCAGGACTCCACAGAGAAAGGAAGGACGGCTCCCCTATTGAGCGGTCATTGAACTCGCTGATCTTCTTCTTTATCTGTCAGCTTCATGAGGGAGGGCAGGGAGGGTGGGGGATGCAAGCAGACACACACCGATGCATGTGGCTTATGATATGCCCTGCAGTGTCACTCGGCACTGAGCTATGACGCACGGAGACTCGATTTCCAGGAACCCCACCCAGCGACCGATGGAACCAGCCTTATTTGTGGCTTCACCCAGAAAAACTCCAGGCTTTGTGAACCCCAAATACCGAAGTAGTGTTTGGAGGCAGAGAGGGAACCAAGTCAATCAGGAATGTTACCCAACTCAACTCAACCCGGCTTCAGTGGATAGAAGTTTGTTAGGTCAGGGGATCAGGGGATAGATCAGACATGATCTCATAGGGTGGCGAAACAGGCTGGAGGGGCTGAATGTCCTCCTCCTGTTTCTATGTTACACAATCTCGATGGATTAACTCCTTCCCATTCCCTCCCACTGTACAAAACCCCAATGCACCAGGACCTGTATTTGATACAGCGCCTTATCACGCCGTCGAGATGGCTCGATATTTTTACTAGACGAAAATACTAGGGGGAGGTGGGGGCGGGGGGGGGGGGGGGGGAGGGGAAGGTTCAGGCAAAGACCTTCACCTCCAAGTTTGGTGATTGAAAGAGACTGAAATCATTAAACACTCTGAGGGAAACAGTCAACAGAAGCTTTGACTTTTCGCCTATGATGAGAGCCGGTGTTTGGGAAAAACATTTCCAAGCTCAAACTTATCAAGTGGAAATCGTTGAACTTTAAACCGCCTCCCCCCACCCCCACCCCCCCCCCCACCTGACCGAAACGTTGGGCAAGTTTCCTCACTCCACGCACCCGCTGCGAAATGTAGTGACTGTATAGATTTCACGGGCGAAACACGGCCAACAATTGCGCACAGCGGTGTCCCACAAACGGCAGTGGATTGAGCGACCACATTATTAGCATTATTATCACTTTTTGAAGTGGTTACTGTTCCCGGAAAAGCGATCCGCCGATCTGCGTGTGTGTGTGTGTGTGTGTGTGCGTGTGCGTGTGCGTGTGTGGAGTAAGGAAACCTGCCCAGGGTTCGTCCCGACCTAAACCTGCCCGGGAATCGAACCCGGGTCCTCGAGCTTGCGATACAAGATAAAACCACTGAGATACAGGACTCGTACTTGTCGTAAAAGAGCAGACACGTCTCTCTCTCGACCCAAGTAGGAGATTTGAGTGCAGTCTGTTCTAACAGGACAGTGACCTGTGAGTCAATGACCCGACACACGTATCAAACCAGACCTGGAACGAGCAGAGTGACGGCCAAACAGCCATTTTAAAGCAAGATTATAACTTCTAAAACCCGAGTAAGGTTTAAAAACGTCTCGACCAGCGGCATCTCGGCAACGGGGCAGCGCGAGTGGGAAAGGGGGGAAGATAAAAAAAGGCTTAGCAAGAGGTTCCCGGTACTCACCAGCGATCAGTGTGTCAAAAGACTCAACTCCTGCCACAGTCACCTCAAGTGGTAAGTAAACCCCGTCACAAAACCCTCCCACCTTGTGACATGGCATCTCTCTCCCCCCCCACCCCACCACCCCCCGCAACCCCCAACCTATTGGACACGGGGTGGAGTCTGTTCCCAGCTCAGTGCTAGAATTACTAACTCTGCACAGATAAGATACACACACACACACGCACACGCACGCACACGCAAGCTTATAATCCTTGCATTTGATACAGCGCCTTATCATGTCTTCGAGACGTCTCAACGCCCTTCACGGGATTCACTGTAAAGTGTAGTGACTGTATTTTGTGGGCGAAACGCGGCAGCCAATTGCGCCCAGCGACGTCCCACAAACAGTCGTAGATTGAGTGACCAAATTATTATTACTTACTGCTCGGTAAACAGTGTGTGTGGAGCAAAGAAACTTGGCCAAGGTTTCTCCCTGACCTAACCCGCCCGGGAATCAAACCCAGGTCCTCTGGCTTGCGAGGCGAGTGCTCTAACCACGACACTTCAGGACTCCACAGAGAAAGGAAGGACGGCTCCCCTATTGAGCGGTCATTGAACTCGCTGATCTTCTTCTTTATCTGTCAGCTTCATGAGGGAGGGCAGGGAGGGTGGGGGATGCAAGCAGACACACACCGATGAATGTGGCTTATGATATGCCCTGCAGTGTCACTCGGCACTGAGCTATGACGCACGGAAACGCGGCAGCCAATTGTGCACAACAGCGTCCCACAAACACTCGTGGATTGAGTGACCAGATTTCCACCTGAACAGGGCACAGGCAGGAGCTTGGTTAACATCTCATTTGGAAGAACGGATAATCCCGACACATTTATTTATGATATAAATATTTATTTGAAGCGATAGCGCATTGACATGAATCTGGAACAGACAAGGGCACAAATGCCGTGATTAAAGCGCGCGTCCTGGAGACACGGAATTGAGAATGGTGCAGTGAAGCTTGACGGATTCGAGGTAAACTTTGGGGGAAAATCTCAGTGGCTGTCAAGACACACAAAATACTTTACAGAGACAGAGACGGCAGAACAAGAAGACATGGGTTTAGGGTTGTAAAGGGCTATTTCAGGACTCACAACCTCTCTTTACCTAGAGGCTAATTGTCCATTGGAACAATAATACCAGGACATTTATAGACGGCAGCTCGATGCTGTGATGGGGAGATGGTAGGGTGGGTGTTGTGGAGGGATGAGATCAGATGGGCCAAAGGAATCCCCTTTCTTCTGTCCGACTGATTGATTGATTGATTGATGAAGACATGTTACACTTCATTGTTCCTGTACATTCAACATTTGGCCACAGGAGGATGGCATTCTCCAAGCCGTGGCTGTAGTTCCTGAGCTTTCACGTTTGCCATTTCGATGCCTTTTCTCTCTCTCTTTCTCTGAGTCTATCTCCGAGTTCCTCGAGCTGTCTGTCTTTTGACTAGAATCTCTGGTCTCCTGGTGCCTCTTGCTCTCCGTACTGAGTATCTCCATCTCTCTCTGGTTGTTACCTTTGATGTCTGGGTCTCTCTGAGCCACTCTCTCCTGACATGAGAAGCACTGTACCAATTTGTTGTTGTTGCTGATTGTGGAGTTTGCATCTGAGATGATTGCAGTAATTTCCCGAGGAGTCACTCCAGTTCGATTGATGAATTTGTGTGTGTGGCTCCCCCGAGCAGTCACTGGCTGGTTGGCGGGTAGGTGGGGTGGGGGGGGGTAGGAGGGGTCGCGTGATGATTGAAAACTTTGATTTCTTCGTAATTCCGCGCTTTTGAAGTCCTAGAGCCGTTCGGAATCCACACTGTCTGAGCTGGTGGAGCTGTTGCTCTTTCTCCTCACTGCCAAACGAGAAATGGGGGGAATTTAATCGTTGAATTCGTGGAAATTCCAGATGGAATCGGTTTGGGAAGCGGCGACTGGCTCCGCTCTCTGCATCTCTGTATCCTCTCTCCTTCTTGTTCCCAGATCTGGATTCACTGGCTCAGGAAACCACCCGCCCCCACCTCACACACACTGACCCTTAAACAGCTCAGTCTCAGGTGCATAAACTGGACAAAGCTCCTATTTATTTAGTGAATATTACTGCAGTGTGGATTGGGGCGAGGATAGGCGGGGCGGGGGGGACATGATGGAGGGAGGAAGTTACATTGGGGAGGACAGAGTTAGAGAGCGGGAGAAGAGTTAAGATGTTGACGTTAAGGGGGGTATCATCTTGAAATTAGAAGTGAAATCAGGGGCAGTTTTTCACACACACAAAGGCCAGTGGGAATCTGGAACTCTCTCTCTCTCTCTCTCTCCCTCCCTCTAAAAGCTGCGGATTATTGCTGGGTCCATTCACATTGTCCAGCCGGAGGTGGATAGATGTCTGTGAGGTCTGGGGATCAAGGGATACAGGGCAAAGGGGAGTAATTGGAGTTGAGGTACAGATCAGCTACAATCTTATAGAATGCCAGAACAGGCTCGAGGGGCTGAATGGCCTCCCCTGTTCCTACTTGAAAGGCTAAAGCACAACTGTGTGGAGTCCTGTCGTGTAGTGGTTAGAGCACGTGCCTCGCAAGCGAGATGACCTGGGTTGGATTTCTGGGCAGAGGGTTCCAGTGCTTGGGGTGGGGGGGGTGCATGACAATGTCTGACTCACCATTTTCAGGCAAAATCATGGCGAAATCCTCTGGCATCACAGCCTTTGGGTTCCTGTTAACAGTAAGTGTGCAGGTCAGTCAGCAAATCAAACATAAATAAAATAACCGACCACGGTGGCTGAGCTGGGACCTACCTACAGCCTCTCTGCCCCCACCCTCCTGGACTCCATCCCACACACACAGTCCCTCAGCCTCACCCCCTCCTTTGAGGCCTGTCTCAAAACCCTCCTCTTCAACCAACCCATGCCTTCGATCACCCTCCTCCCCGCCCTCCACACCCCTGATCCCAACCGCCAGCTCGGGTCCAAATCCCAGATTGTCCAGCGCTTTGGGACGTCCTCCCGACGCGAAAGGCGCTGTGTAAATGTGACGTGTTGTTGTTGGGATTGTGCGGGGAGGGTAACTGGTCGTTACCTCCTGGACGTGAGGAAGTAGATGGTGAATCCGATACACAAGGAGACGAGGAAGGTTGCCAGCACGACCAGCACCACAATCAGCACCACATTCGGACCTGCAAGGAACAGAGAATTAATCAGGGTGTTAGTATACATCAACAACAACTGGCATTTTGCACATCGCCCCTCATGCAGGGCAGTGGCCCAGAGCGCATGACAGTAGCGGATCACGATGCCGAGCCGGGGGGAGGGAGGGGGTGACCGTTGGCATGGTTGGAGAGGAAGGTCTTCAAGGCTGAGGGATTGGGGAAGAGAGTGACAGAGGGCACGAGGGACAAGCAGGAGGTCGGAGCCGGCTGAGTGGAGGCAGCGGGTAGTGGCATGGGGAGTAATCAGATTGGAGAGGTAGGGCAGTGCCAGAGAGTGAAGGGATTTGAAAACGATTGTGAGGCTACGTACATAAATACATGTGCAAGAAAAGAAGTGCAGACAGGAACATACATGTGCCCGCATGTATACGTGCGCACGTGTATTTTAAATAGTCACGCAAACACGCATGCACATAGATAAAGGGGAACATGGCTAAAATACCGGACCTTAATCAGTAAATGGGTGACAGCTGAGGGTAACTGCCTTCGGACATACCTGAGGTTTCTTCATCCAACTGATTCTCACACATCTCCCCAAAAAATCCAGGACGACACTCACACGTGTAGTTTTTAATGCCTGGAGATTCGCTACACGTTCCACCGCTGAGACAGGGATCAGACAGGCAGGCTCCCTCTGGGGGTAGGGGGGGAGGGAATGAGATCCAAAACATAAAGCCATGTGCTTGTGTGTGTGTGTTTATCACACTCTACCTTTAGGTGTGTGACTGTGCGTGGGTTTTTCACACTCGACCTGTGGGCGTGTATGTGAATTTGTGTGTGTGGAGGTGCGCGTATAGGTGTGCGAGTCTGCATTTGCGTGTGTGAGCATGTGTAGAGGTGTCAGTGGGTGTCTGTGTGGTTCCCTTACCTTGGAAGCAGTCGATGGTCAAGTTGAAGGCAGCACACACCTCCCCAGTGCCACACTGTTTGGGCTGGCACTGAACGGTGTTGGTGTTGGCACACAGGCAGCTCTGATCACACTGGTCCGTGACAAACGTCTCCTGCACCTCATAATATTTGCTGTGGTAGGTGCAGCCACACTGGCTGAAGGGCACACACTCCAGGTCGCTGAGCACATAGCCCCGATCGCACTCACACCCCTCCTGACAGGGGATCTCACAGCCTCCTGGGGCAGCCAGATCAGCACAGGTGGCAGGGCAAGCGATCATGCAGGACCTGTAGGTGCTGTGGGCAGGGCAATCCAGTCCTGAGAGGTGAGAGGAGATAATCAGCATTAATACGCTACTGAGTTTCGTCCACAACATGTACAGTCACTACACTTGACAATATATTGTTTGAAGCGCTTTGGGACGTTTCAACGACGTGTTAAGGCGCTGTATCAATAATAATAATCTTTATAATATAATCCTGGCATTTGACACAGCGCCTTATCATGTCTTCGAGACGTCTCAAAGCGCTTCACAGGACACACTGTAAAGTGTGGTGACGGTGTGTTTTGTGGGCGAAACGCGGCAGCCACTTGCGCCCGGCGACGTCCCCACAAACAGCAGTGGATTGAGTGCTTTGTTTTGAAGGGATTATCCCCGGGAAAAAGCGATCCACCAATCGACTAACAAGCGAGTTCCTACTCATTGCAAGATAAGCAAGAGGCGCGCGTGTGTGTGTGTGTGTGTGTGTGTGCGCCCATGTAGAGTAAGGAAACTTCGCCCCGACCCGACCCAACCTGCCCAGGAATCCAACCCAGGTCCTCTCGCTTGCGAGGAGGCGAGCGCCCTAACCACCATGCTACAAGCCTCCGACATGATGGGTCACGTGTATCTCTCTGGCACGGCCCACACTCGGGAGTTACTCACCACATTCTGTCTGCTCCCTCCACAAGTCCAGGGGCACCAACTTCTCTTGACAGATCTTGGTGTAGGCTTCAAAGCTAAGGCACAGTAACTCTTTGCTCTCGAAGTCAGCACACAGGTCGAACAAGCAGTTCCTGTAGAGGGACACAGAGCAAGGAGAAAGCTCCCGGTTAGGCCCTCTGCTCAAAGTCCACGAGCCCCCAAATTCCGCCTGCTCTTAGCCTAATAATAATCCTTGCATTTGATACGGCGCCTTATCACGTCTTTGAGACGCCTCGAAACGCTTCGCAGGACACGCTGTAAAGTGGAGTGACTGTATATTTTGTGGGCAGAAAGCGGCAGCCAATTGCACACAGCGACATCCCACAACCAGTGACCTGCCGTGAATCGAACCCACGTCTCTCGCTTGGGCTCTAAGTGTGCGCTCTAACCACTGAGCTACAGGACTGCACGAGATGTGTCCTCAACGCTGTTGGCCACGGTGCTGATCGAGTGGGTTGTGTGAGCGGGATAGGCACACACAGTGCCAGGCAGCTGCTTGTCGATTTGCGTTACTTACTCCTGGAAGGTACTGGGTGAGACGATCGAATGGCAAGCTTTGAAGGGCCCATTTGGGTTAGACAGCGCACCGCAGAACTTAGTACTGTTCATCAGCTCCAGCTGGTCACTGGTGCAGTCCTCAGTGGTGAAGCCTGACTCGGGATTATTCACGTCACGTCTGTGGAAGGAAACAAAGGTGTTACTGGAGTGCAGCAACTGTGTGCTTTATGGGCGAAACTCAGCAACCAATTGCGCACAGCGACGTCCCACAAACAATCGTGGATTGAGTGACCAAATTAATAATCTTTTTTGTTTAATTTTGTCGTTTTGTGAAGGGATTATTACACTCCCAGAAAAGTGACCCGCCAGTCGACTAACAAGCGGGTTCCTACGTACCTCTAGGTAAACAAGAGGTGTGTGTGGAGTAAGAAAGTTGCCTAAGGTTTCACCCCGACCTGACCCGACCCACCCGGGTCTCGAACCCGGGTCCTCTCACCACCGAGGCGAGCGCTCTAATCACTGAGCTACAGGTTATTTATTTATTTATGCCCTAAATCAAGAGATGTTCATTCAAGAAACATTTATCTTGTTGGCCAACCAAAGAAATTGGTCACCACAGGTCTACGCTGTGAGCTGAAGTGCTGACGAGGGGTTAGGAACACCACAGACTGCTGACTGGGAGGCGAGAGAACGGGAGAGAGTGAGAGCGAGTTGGACTCCAGGTAAACTCACTTGTGGATTCTTTGGGTCTGTGTCTCAGTGGCCGCCCGGTTCCGAGGCCTCACTTTCCAGCTGTTGCCAAACTCGTTGAGGTTTTCGGTGATCGTGCCGTCCGGCTTCATGTAGTCGTTGTACCTTCGGTCATCGTAGTTACCGCACAAGCCCAGCACTCGCTCCATGTAGGTACTCGGGAGAGTAATCACTGGGGACAGGACAGGATGTTCAGATGTTATTATAATAACAATAATCCCGGTGTTTGTCCCAGCGCCTCATCACGTCTTCGAGACGTCTCAAAGCGCTTCACAGGATATACTGTTAAGTGAAGTGACTGTATAGTTTGTGGGCGAAATGCGGCAGTCGATTGCGCCCAGCGACGTTCCACAAGCAGTCGTGGATTTAATGACCAAATCACTGTTATTTTTTGGATGGATTATTACCTCCGGAAAAGTGATCCATCAATTAACTAACAAGTGGGTTCCTGCTTACTGCTGGTACACAGAGGCGTGTGTGTGTGTGTGCGGAACAAGAACACTTACCTAACACTTACCTGTCCGGGAATCGAACCCAGATCCTCTCGCTTGCGAGGCGAGCACACTAACCCTGAGCTACAATACTCCACGTCACAATGTAACCAGACTAGACTGTAGTTCATTACCTGCTGCTGATTCTCCGTCAAACTCCACGGTGAGCCCAAAGTCCATCTCCAGGAAAATGGACCTGGATTTCTGATAGATGCGCAGACCTTCTCGGGGTTCAAAGGGAGGTTTGATCCTCACACCGTCCACCTGGAGGTTAAGACATTATTGAGGTCAAGGAGTTCATCGCAACAACTGACAACAACAACATTTGTTAGTCGATTGGCGCCTTTCGTGTCAGGAAGACATCCCAAAGCCCTGAAACCAAGGCTTCACTCCACTGAGCACTTGACGTTACTTAGCATTACCCAATACGTCCTGACTTCGTGTTTAGGCGCTATATCAAATGCCAGGATTATTATTACACTCACCCACACACTCACCCATACACTCACTATCACTCTCATTCACTAACACACACTCACCACAACTTTGCGGTTCTTCAAGAGCATGATGGAGTATCCATGGATGTCGATGTAGACTTCCTGGAGGAAGGAGACCTTACTGAACGGGCTCCTGCGTTTATTCCTGCCTTCGATGTTGAACGGGATCAGGTTACCGGCATTGTTGGTCTCGCTCAGGGTGTAGGTGTCCTTGCCTTGGTAATGGTGGATCACAAAGTCATAGGTGATGTAGTGGGGGTCTCCGGAGATATGACACTGATTAAATCCTGGTAGGGAATGGGAGAGAACAACGTGAACAATCGTAGCAATGGGAATGTGCTTGAGCATTCTGAGCATCGTGGCGCCTTCTACATGTGAACAGGAGAAGGCCATTCAGCCCCTCCAGCCTGTTCCGCCATTCTATAAGATCATGGCTGATCTGTACCTCAACTCAAATTACAACAACAACAACTTGCACTTATATAGCACCCTCAGAGCACTTAATTACCCTTCCTTGCCCCAAACCCCTCGATACAATGCAAAATTACATTTGTTTAGCGCCTTTCACGTCGGGAGGACGTCCCAAGGCCCTGACCTAACAAACACCTGTCCACCCCAGTCTTGCAGCGCCCCACCCGCCCTCCCCCCACCGGCTGCCAACGGCCCTGCAGCGCCTCCCAAAATACAGCACGTGAAATTGGGCTGCGTACGTACGTGTGGGTCTGCAGTAATTGACTCCGTCCTTCGCATCGCACACTGTGGCTTTCCCGCAGCTGAAGGCTTCACACTTGACGTTCCCGTCTCCGGGGCAATGACAGGTCTCCTGACAGTCCTTGGTCAGCCAGCTTTCCCCGACCTGAGACACACAAACCACTGTTACCGGACTGACATTTTAACTCTGATCGCAGCGCCGCCCACAGGGTGTTTAAGAGTCATTGCAGTGTCACCTCCAACAACCACCACCACCACAACAAATGACATTTCCACGGCACCTTTCACATCTGGAGGACGTCCTGAGGTGCTGGACAGTCAGGGTTTAGGACCCAAGGGGTGAGGCGGGGGATTGCGGGATGGACTTCCAGAGAGTGGGGGCAGAGAGGCTGAAGGGGAGTTGGCGGGGGGGGGTGGGGGAGTTACTCACGTTGTGGTACTCGTTCTCGGCGTCCACACAACCGCATTCCTGCAGCTTCACGCACTCGTTGTCGCTCAGTACGTATCCGGCGTTGCACTCACAGCCTTCCACGCAGGCGCTCGAGGTCTCGCAGTTGGAGGGAGCGTAGATATCAGTGCAGGTGGCGGGGCAGGGGGTGGAGCATTCCACATAGTGGCTGTTGGGTGGACAGGCCAGGGCTGTGGGGAGGGGTGGGGGGGGGAAGGGATAATAATGATTACAATAATAATAATGATAATAATAATCCTGGCATTTGATACAGCCCCTCATCACGTCTTCGAGACCCCTCAAAGTTTTTTTAGGCAAAACGCGGCAGCCAATTGCGCACAGCAACGTTCCGCAATCAGTCGTGGGACTGAGTGGCCAAATTATTATTGTTGGTAATATTTATTTGTTTTTGAAGAGGTTATTATTACCCCCGGAAAAGCGATCCATCAGGCGGGTTCCTATTTACTGCTAGAACAGAGGCGTGAGCATGTGTGTGTGTGTGTGAGGAGTAAGGAAACTTGCCTAAGGTTTTCGCCCCGACCTGACCCGCCCGGGAATCGAACCCGGATCTTCTCGCTCGCGAGGCGAGGGCTCTAACCGCTGAGCTGTAGAGATTTTACAATGCAGCCTTCGCTCAGCGCAGTGACTGGGCATGAAATCCCACAGACTGTGCTGTGGCTGAAGGAGATACTCACGGCAGAAGGTGCTGTTCCTCCACTTGATGCCGACTCCCTCGCTCTTGCAGGCCTCCACGTAGGAATGGATGTTGTCACAGAGCGTGGAGATCATGCCGTTGTACTCGCACATGTCAAATACGCAGTTCTGGATGAAGGGGAAGGGATCGACCAGACTGTGGCACGTCTTGTATTTGTCGTTCAGCATGTCCTGGCACAGAACTACCACCTTCTCCATGTCGGAGGGCAGGCAGCTTGCATTCAGATCCTCTCTGTTGTCAGGCTTGCAACTGAGGGCAAAGAGAGAGAGAGAGAGAGAGAGAGACACACGTTTTATTTATACGTCCACCGGAGCGCGAGGGTTAGCGAGAGGGCAGAGCAGGCTCTGTGTTGGAGTGCACAGAGCAGATAATAATAATAATAATAATCCTTGCATTTGATACACGCCTTATCACGTCTTCGAGACGCCTCAACGCACTTCGCTGAATATCCCGTAAAGTGGAGTGACTGTATATTTTGTGGACAAAACGCGGCAGCCAATCGCTCACGGGCAGTGTCCCACAAAGAGTCGCGGATTGAGCGACCACAGTATTAGATTTTTTTGAAGGTATTATTACCCATGGAAAAGCGATACGCCAATCGACTGACAACTGGTAAACAGAGGCGCGTGTGCGGAATCAGGAAAGTTGCCCTGACCTGACCTGATCCGCCCGGGAATCGAACCCAGGTCCTCTAGCTTGCGAGGCGAGTGCTCTAACCGCTACACTACAGCACTCCTACTAGGAGATGGACGTGAACGTACCCTGGGTCGCTGTCTCCCTCGTCCTTCCAGCTGTTCCCGAAGTGGGTCACGTTGTTTGCCATCTTCCCGTCGGGCATCAACAGCTCGTCAGATTGGTCCTGATTGTAATTGCCACACATGCCGCACAACTGGAGAGAATAGGAGGTGTTAGTATCAGGTTAGAGTGAAGGGCGAGCGCTGGTCAGTGAGCGGGGCTCCCGGGAACCGAACCCAGATCTCTCGCTTGCGAGATGAGCCCGCTAGCCACTGAGCTACAGGACTCCACGTTTGCCATCTCACCTTCCCGAAATACGTGCTGGGCACTTTGATCTCCAGGTGGTGGTTTCCGTCAAACTTCACCACGAGCCCGAAGTCAGTCTCCACCACGGAGTAGATGCCACTGGTGACGATGGACACACCTTTAATCTGGTCTGTAACTGGAGCCCGCACTCTCTTCCCGTCGACCTGTCACATTGAACAGACACACTGAGTGAGCAGTTTGGAATATAATAACAAGTAACAATCCTTGCATTTGTCGAGAGGACATCCCAACAGAGCCGGGGGTGGGGGCCGGGTGGGTGGAGGTGAGGTGGGTCAGGTCCGCTCCGCGCTTACCAGAATCCGTCTGCTCTTCTGTAGGGTGATGCGGACGTTGTAGACGTCGATGTTCACTGAGCTGATGTAGGAGACGCCAGGCTGCCCTCGCTCCTCGTTCTTGGCGTTGACGGTGAAGGGCGTGACCATCGTGGGCACACAGACCTCCGCCAGCGTGTAGGTGCAGGTCCCCATAAACGTGTGCATGGCGCTGTCAAAGGTGAAGTAGTGAGGGTCTCCGGCCACGTGACAGGAGACTGTGCCTGTGGGAGAGGAGGTGGGAGGCCCAGAGGTCAATAAAACAAGTGACTTTTGTATGGAGGAGTGCAGCGTCCATGTTGGGAAGGTGATGCATTTTATTTGAGGGTGGGGAGGAAGGGAGAGGGAGAGTATGCTGCATTGAGGCCATCCCATGTACTATTTCTGTCATCTTTAATGTATAATAATACTTGCAGTCGATACTGCGCTTTATCACGTTGTCGCGACGTCTCAAAGCGCTTCACCAAACACACTGTAAAGTGTAGTGACCTTGTGTTTTTATGGGTGAAACGCGGCAGCCGGTTATTATTTTTTGGGGGGATTATGTCCCCAGAGAAGCGATGCAACAAGCGACTAACAACCTGACTCGCCTGGGAATTGAACCCGGGTCCTCTCGCTTGCGAGGTGAGGGCTCTGATAGTTACTACTGACCTAAGATCTGACACCCGAGCACTCCGTCCTTGACCTCGCATGTCTCCAGCGGGCCGCAGTTCCACTGCTCACACGTGATGTTGTTGGGGCTGGAGCAGGTACAGCGTTCTGTACAGTTACTGTCCGTGATCCAGTTCTCTCCCAACTGGAAAAGACAACAAGAGAAACTGCTCACGCCAATGCCAACAATAATAATCCTTGCATTTGATACAGTGCGTTATCACGTCTTTGAGGCGTCTCAAAGCGCTTTACGGAATGCGCTGTAAAGTGAATCGATAGTATATTTTGTAGGCGAAACCCGACAGCCGATTGCGCCCAGCGACGTCCCACAAATATATAGAGTACTGTATCCTGTGGCTTACATACCAGGTGGTAGTTCTTGTCTGTGTCCACACAGCCGCACTGACTGAAGGGAACACACTTGTCCCCACTCAGCACAAAGCCGTTGTCACAGACGCAGTCCTCCACACACGGTTTGTTACAGTCGTTGGGAGCTGAGAGGTCAGTGCAGGAGGCAGGGCAGGCTGTCCCACAGGGCTCATAGTGACTGTTAAGTCCACAGGTCAGTGCTGGAGAGACAAGAAAGAGTTTTCAGATTATGCCTGAAGGCACGGACTATTCTTTATCATGCAAAGGGTAGCGGAAATCTGGAACTCTCTCCCTCCCCCAAAAGTCTGTGGAAGCATCTCCCTCATGCTCTCTGCTCTTACGTCGATGGCTGCACTTTCAGCCACTACCCGAAACTCTGTCGCTCTCTCCCTCTATCCTCTCGCCTTGCCCCCTCCTTCCTTCCCCATCTTCAGATCGCCCCTGAAGACCTTCCTTTGCGACCGTGCCATGGTCACCTCCCCTCTTCCCCGCCTCATCGTCGTGCTAAGCCACTGTCAAGCGCCCTGGGATGCTACACTGCGTGAGAGGCGCTGTGTAAATATAAGTTGTTGAAGGAACACTGGCAGATTCTTCACCTCTCTAACACAGGGGTACAAAGTCAACTCTAGTCCCGAAAGATGTCCTCAGCTCAGATCAGTACCTCAGGACTGACAAATGCTACCAAACAAGGTGACAGCGAGACTCACGGCAGAAGGTCTTGTTTCTCCAGGTGACCGAGACGCCAGCTTTGGCACACAGGTCAGCATAGCTCTGCAGCGCTAAGCAAAGGTACATCGTATCTCCATCGTAAGCACACATGTCGTACACGCAGTTGTCAAAGTATTGCTCTGGGGGGATCTTGCTGTGACACTCTTTGAACAGGCCTGTGAACAGTGATGAGAGATGTAGTTATATAACAACAACAAAATTACATTTATAGAGTGCCTTTCACGTCGGGAGGATGTCCCAATATTATAATAATAAAAACCCTTGCATTTGATATAGAGCCTTATCACGTCTTTGAGACGTCTCAAAGCATTTTTCCTTTTCGAGTACCTAACTCCCTATTGAAAGTTAATACACTATACAGTGTAGTTACTGTTTTGTGGGTGAAACGCAGCAACCAATTGTGCACAGCAGTGTCCCACAAACAGTTGTGAATTGAGTGCCCAATTTTTTTCCCCCTAAAGGGATTATTGCCCGTAAAGCAATCAGCCAATCGACTAACAACTAGGTTCCTACTTAAGTATCGCATGGGTGGGGCGGGAAGGGGGAGGAGAGAAAGAGAGAGCAAGCAGAAACGATAGGAGATAGAGAGAGAGAGAGAGACATTGGGAATGACTGGGGGGATGGTGGAGCGAGGGGCCGAGAGGAAGAGAGAGAGAGAGAGAGCAAAAGGAAACTTTGAGGACAAAGGGAAACGGAGAGGAGATACTCGAAAAGACCAGAGTTGTCATGGTCTGGAAAGCACTGCCTGAAACGGTGGTGGAAACAGATTCAACAGCAACTTTCAATAGGGAGTTAGATAGGTACTTGAAAAGGAAACATTTACAGGGGTGTGGGGGAAAGAGCCGGGGAGTGGGACTGATTGGGTAGCTTTTCCAAACAGGCACGATGGGCCGAATAGCCTCCTTCTGTGCTGTAATATTCTATGATTCTACGAAAACGCTGTGAAGAGACAGAGCGAGAGAGAAAGGAGAGAGCAGGAAACAGCGTTGGGAGGAGAGGTAAGAAGATGGGATGGACAGGAGCAATCTTGGTTGTAAATACAATACAAAATTACATTTGTGTACGCCTTTCACGTCGGGAGGACATCCCAAGGCGCTGATATGTAGAGCGGCGTTGGATGGTTCCCTTACCTGTCGGGTCCTTAATGAAACCACAGCTTGTTGGCTTCTCAGCCTCGGCCTGCACATCGTCATCACAATCCTCAATCCCACCACTGTTTGTGCATCTGCCGGAGGAGGAGAGAGATCACTCACATGAGGAAGAACATCAAAAGACACAGACACTACACTTTACAATATAAGGCCCTATATCAAATCTAAGTATTATTATTATTATTTATTATTATCTGTATCTCTGAGGGACTGAGTAAAGGGCTGCAGGTAACCCTCACCCTCTCATAAGAACATAAGATCATAAGCTCGACGAAAGACCACCAATGTCCATCTAGTTCGCCTTCCACCATCATAGCAGTCACTTGACATGTCGGGTCCCTAAACTATATACTGTATCTGTGTGTGTGTGTCTCTTTCTCTCTGTCTCTTTCTCTTCTCTGTCTCTCTTTCTTCTCTGTGTCACTGTGTCTATGTCAATCTACGTGTGTGTGTTTGTCTCTCTCTTTCAATCTCTCTCTCTCTGTGGCTATATACTGTATTCCCAGATATTATTTTCTAACAGAAATCTACCTCATTTGTTCTTGAAACAAACAACACTTTCTGCTTCCACCGTCTGTCTCCCTGGCGAGCCTGTTCCCCACGTTTACTACTCGCTCACTGAACTAGTGTCACCGCAGATTTGTTCCGAATTTACCCTCCTTCGATCTCAAGTCATGTCTTCTGGTTCTACTGTTGAGTACCAGATAAAACAGCTTATCGTGTTCTATATCATCTCTCCTGTGTGGCACGTTACTTACCCCGGCGTATCATCAGGTACCAGCCAGCTCTCTCCCAGGTCATTGACGTTGTCAGCAGCACTGCCATCGGGTTTGAGATTGTCGTCAGCTTTGTTTTTGTTGTAGTTTCCTGCAGGGAGGAGAATAGTGGCGTCAAACAACAACAACAAGAACACATTACACGTGGGATGGAGTTCCAGGGGGCGGAGGCAGAGAAGCCGAAGGCCCGCCCGCCAATGGTGAAGCGGGCGAGGCGTGGGGACGTGAAACATGGGTTAAGAAAGGCTGGTTTCTGATCTGTTGTAGCTACATCTTGGGTTTAGACACCAGTAAACGTCCCTCTACACTCCAACGACGCTTTGTGTGGGTGTCTGAACACTGAGCAAGGAAAAGTGTGAATGGAAACCTACCACACAGCCCAGAGAGCAGCCCTGTGTAAGAGGAGGGAACGGAGACGTCCGCGTGATGGTTTCCATCGAAGCGCACCCACAGCCCAAAGTCAGTCTCCACCACGGCGTATTTGCCACTGAGCCTGATCACCACCTGATCGTCCACAAATACCGGCAGGTTGATTCTTTTTCCGTTCAGCTGTGTGTGAAAAAAGTCGGGTTTATACAACAATAATAAATAATAATCCTCGCATTTGATATCGCGCCTTATCACGTCTTCAAGACGTCTTCCAACAACAACAATTTACGTTTGTATAGTGCCTTCCACGTCAGGGGGACTTCCCATCCCAAGGTTCCAGCGCTCTGGGACGTCTTTCCAACGTGAAGGGTGCTGTACAAGTGTAATGTTGTTGTTGTTGTCTCAAAGTGCTTCACTGAATATATTGTAAAGTGTAGTGACTGTACATTTTGTGGGTGAAACGCGCAGCCAATTGCACACAACAGTGTCCCACAGTCGTGGATTGAGTGACCACATTAGTACTATTATAATTATTTTTGAAGGGATTATTACTCCCGAAAAGCGATCCGCTAATCGACTAACAAGTGAGTTCCTACTGACTGCTGGTAAACAGCGTGTGTGTGTGTGTGTGTGTGTGTGTGTGTGGAGTAAGGAAACTTGCCTAAGGTTTTGTCCTGATCTGACCTGCCCGGGAATCAAACCCGGGTCCTCTCGCTTGTGAGGTGAGCGCTCTAACCACTATGTTACAGGACTCCACAAAGTATCCCAAGAGACCTTAGCGCTGGACACTCACAATGACTCTCCTGCTCTTCATTAAGGTGATGCGATGACCGTACACATCGATGTGGACGGCTTTGACGTACGAGACCTTTTTGTTGCTGCCTCTGTGCTCGTTTGTGGTTTCCACGTTGTAGTATTTGAGGTTGGACGAGGTGTCTCCGAGCTTGGAGAGAGTGTAGGTGCAGGTCCCCATGAAATTGTGCACCTTCTTGTCGAACGTTGTGTAGTGAGGGTCTCCCGAGACACTGCATGTTTCACGATCTGTAACAAGAGAAAGAGACACACCGATCAACAGCCTGAACTTTCAGCTCTTCCTCCCTTCATGTCCCACTGTGGATCCTGAGGCTCAGTGGTGAGAGCGCTCGCCTCGCAGGTGAGAGGACCTGGGTTCAATTTGCGGGCGGGACAGGTCAGGACGTAACCTTAGGCAAGTTTCCTTACTCCACACACACACACACACACATCTGCCCCCTCAATAAACACCCTGCTTACCTAGAGCGTGACAGCCATAGATTCCGTCCTCCAGCCCACATGTCTCCACGGGTAGGCAGCTTGAGTTCTTGCATGTGAAGATGTTGTGACCCTGACACAAGCACTCCTCAGTGCAGCCTGGCTTGTACCAGCTCTCGTTAGGCTGTGGAAAACATGACGGGTATCAAATCTGTCTTTTCATTACCCCACAATACAAAATTACAATTACACAGTGCCTTTTGTATTGGGAGGCCATCCCAAGGTACTGGACAGTCGGGGATGGGGGGGGTGGATTGGGGTAAGGGAGGATGGAGGGCAGTCAAGGTAGGAGGGTGGCCGAAGGCACAGTTGAAAAGAAGGGTCCTGAGACATGCCTTGAAGGAGGCAAGGGAGCGAGGTGAAGGGGCTGTGGGGTGGAGTTGCAAAGGGTGGGGGCGGAGGGGCTGAAGGCTCGACCACCGATGATGGGACGAGCCGGGCGGGGGATGTGGAGCAGGCCGGAGCCTGCTGAGCGGAGGGAACGGACGGGTTGATAATGGCAGGTCACAGAGGTAGGAAAGGGCAAGGCCGTGGAGGGCCTTGAAGGCGAGGACGAGGATTTTGAACTCTATCCTCTGAGGGATGGGGAGCCAGTGGAGTTGGGTGGGGTGATGGGGTCACAGCCACAGTGTGCACAATGAGGAGATGAACACCTTATTGATGGTTTATTGGTGATCTCCCCCGGGGAGAGGGCACTGAGAGACCCCAGTTAGCGTGTGTGGGTACTCACCAGGTAGTAATCTCCTTCTGAATCGGTGCAGCCACACTCGTTGGCAGGGACGCACTTCCCATCACTGAGGACGTAACCCTCGTCGCACTCGCACCCCTCGACGCAGCGGTTCGGACAGTTCCCTGGAGCGAACGGGTCGTTGCAGGTGGGAGGGCAGGCGCTGGCACACAGGGTGTAGTGACTGTTTGCAGGGCAGTCCAGAGCTGGAACAAAACAGGACTGGTTAGGGTGGATGTTATGGGGGGGGGAAAAAAATAAGGCCTCACTAAGTTCGTAGAGTGGGAGTATAGGCGTAGGAGTGCGCACTCTCTCTCTCCCTGGATGGACGCATCCTGTTTACCTAATTTCAGAGAGTATTAGACGCACGTTAGCTAGAACCAACACTTGGGTGGTGGGGTGGTGGGGGGGGCGGGGAGAGGAAGGAGCTCAGAGTGCATTGGGGTAACTGTTGGGAGTCTAACCCGCTCTCCCCAGTTCAAGAGATCAACGTGGCACTGGGATGTATGACTGTTACCTTGTGTGATTGCCTGTAATAGTACAATGACAGAAACTCACGACAGAAGTCTGGCTCCCTCCACGAGTGGACAGTAGCTCCAGCAGACAGACAGGCATCGGTGTAGGCTTGGAGTTGGTCACACAGCATGGCATCAAGCCCCTCGTACTGGCACATGTCAAAGATGCAGTTGTTGAAGTAGGGCATGGGGTCCACAATCTTAATGCAGTCCCTGCAGAAGTCAAAGAGCGGCAACAACATCAACAATCAACAGCAAAATGACATTTACACAGCGCCTGCCTTTCACGTCGGGAGGATGTCCCAATGCGTTGGACAGGACAGTCAGGAATCTGGACCGAGTTGGGGGTTGGGATCAGGAGGGGTGGAGGGTGGGGGTAGGAGGGTGGCTTAAGGTGCAGCTGGTCGAAGAGGAGGGTCTTGAGACAGACGTGCCTTGAAGGAGGCAAGGGAGGGGGCGAGGCGGAAGGACCGTGAGATGGAGTTCCAGAGGGTGGGGGCAGAGAGGCTGAAGGCTTGGCCGCAGATTGGTGGGGCAGGCTGGGGGTCGTGGAGCAGACCAGTGCCTGCTAAGCAGACAGGTTGATATTGCATTGGCAAGTCACAGAGGCAGAGAGAGGCAAGGCCGTGGAGGTCTTTGAAGGTGAGGACGAAGACTTTGAACTCTATCCTCTGGGGGATGGGAAGCCAGTGGAGCCGGGAGAGGGTGGGGATGATAGGGTGACGGAGCCTGGTGCAAGAGAGGACACGAGCTGCGATTAACGTTTGTGCAGTGCGAGGAGGAACGGTCTTTAATCGGAGTATAGAGACTGTAGAGGACTTTCGCTTACCTGAAGGCTCCCATGGGGTCTATTAGACGCCCACAGCTGTCCGAGCTTATAACCTGTTCATAGAGATCTTCATCACAGGGGGGCTGGTCCGAATCGTCGGATTTACAGCTGAAAAAACAGTGAGACGCAAGAACAAATTAGTGCGGGAAGCAAGGAAAACGTTTCTCTGTGCACGAGGCGATGCAAAATTCTCTGCTATGATGAAAGTACTGTTGAGACCATAAGTTCTTTTCGAAGGGAACTAGATAGATGTCCACGACTAACAAGCGGGTTCCTACTTACTGCTAGGTAAACAGAGGCGTGTGTGTAGAATAAAGAAACTTGCCTAAAGTCTCACCCCGACCTGACCGGCCCGGGAATCCCCGCTTGCGAGGCGAGCGCTTTAACCACTGCACTACAGGAGTGAGCAAGTGTTGAACTGGAGTGAGGAGGCTGGGCCACTCGCATGTTGTAAGGAGGACTCGAGCAAGACGTACAACAACAGCGCCCTTCGTGCGGTGCAGTGTCCCGGACGGAACGTTGGGCAGTGGCGGAGTTTGACCCCGAGGCGGAGGGAGAGGGAGGCGGGAGGTGACCGTAAGCACGATGACAAAGGAAGGTCTTTACGCGGGAATGGAAGGTGGGGGAAGAGGGAGTGGGCAAGGCGGAGGAATTGAGGGAGTTCCAGACAGGTGGCCACTTACTCGTCATCTTCATCATCCTTCGTCTTCCAGCTGTTCCCTAACTCGTCCCCGGTCTTTGCTGCAGAACCGTCGGGCTTTATGTTATCGTTGTTCGCGAATCCGTCCAAGTTTCCACACAGACCGCACATCATGTTGAAGTAAGACCTGGGTGTTCGCAGGAGAAAAGGAAGGCCATCAGTCACCTCTTCGAGATGTCTCAAAGGGCTTCACACAATTTACTGTAAAGTGTAGTGACTATATACTTTGCGGGCGAAACGCGGCAGCCAATTGGGCATAGCAGTGTCCCACAAACAGTCGTGGATTGAGTGACCAATTTTTTTTTTTTTTCGAAGGAATTATTACCCCCGGAAAAGCGATCTGCCAATTGACTAACAACCAGGTTCCTATTTACTGCTAGGTAAACAGAGGCGTGTGGAGTAAGGAAACTTGCCCAACGTTTCGCCCTGCCGGGAATCAAAGTGAATGCAAAGAGGAGAAACTGGGTGGATAAAAGCGACTTACGTTGGAACAATAATCTCCAGGTAATGGTTCCCATCCCAGCGGAGAGTCAAGCCAAAGGAGGTCTGCACCACCACGTACTGGCCGCTCTGAGAGATGGCTGTCTTGCTGGCTGTCTGGTAGGGCAGGCGAATCCTCTTGTCATTGACCTGTGAGGGGAGCGAACGATACACACACACGTCAAGGATGGCACAAGTGAGATTATTCCCTTGTTACCAGTGAGTCATTGAACCAAAGAGGTTCTCAGCTGGAGACAACCCAAGTTAATCTTTTGAAATTAGATCGTGGGTCATATAGACCTGTCTGCTCCCTCCACTCAGCAGGATCCAACCTGCTCCACTTCCCCCTCCCGGCCCTGCCAGCCCCACCATCAGCGGTCAGGCCTTCAGCCTGTTGTTGTCACTAACCAGTGTCCGTCTGCTCTTCATGAGGGTGATGGTGGATCCCTGCGTTGTGAGGTAGATCTTCTTCAGGTAGGAGACTCCCTTCTGACCTCTCTCCTCATTCTTGCCTTCAACGGTAAACCAAGGTCCTGGAGGACAGAAAGTGGGAGAAACAGAATGAGTGAGAGAGAGAGGCAAGAGGAGGAGAAGGATGGAGAGATGGAGTAATCTGAGCAGAAGGTTGTGCTTACCGGTCTGATTCTCACACGATCTGGCCAGCGTGTATGTACAGGTGCCCATGAAGGCCAAAGATCTCTTGTCAAAGCTGTAATAGTGGGGATCTCCAGAGATGTAACACGATTCAAATCCTGGGGAAAGAGAAAGGGTTAGAGAGGTGACAAACACAATGCATATCACCCAGCCGTGGCCTTGTGCCCGTGATTCTCATCATCTCTGAAGGATCATTTACACATCGCCCCTCATGTGGGATAGAGTCCCGGAGAGCTTCACAGTGACGGAGCCTCACAACGAGCCAAGGGAGAGAGGGAGGGGAGAGGTGACCGTAAGCTTGATCAAAGAGGTCTTTAGGTGGGATTTGAGGATGGGGAGGAAGGGAGGGGGCAAGGTGGAAGGATCGAGGGAGAAAGTTCCAGATTTTCGGGGTGCAGTGGCTGAAGGCACGGCCACCGATGATGGAGCGGAGGGCACAAGGGAATGAACAGGAGGCTGGAGCCAGCCAAACAGAGTCAGCGGGTGATGGGAGTAGGGGGGTAAGCGAATCGGATAGGCATTGCGGTGCGAGGGACTGAAGTGACTTGAAAACGAATGAGAGGATCTTGAAGTCGAACCGTTCGGTGATTGGGAGCCAGTGGATCAAGGTAAATCTTCTGAAAGGCTCTGCGTGAATATCATCATTTGTTGTTATTGTGTGTGGCACGTCTCTTACCTATTGGGTGGCAGCCGTGAATGCCATTGACAAGGCCGCAGTACTCTTTCTCTCCGCACTGCCAGTCGCTGCAGGTGGTCACGTTGCTCCCCTGACACTCGCACTTCTTTGAGCAATCGGGTGTAAAGAAGTCATCGCCGGTCTGTGGGGTTCAGGAGCAAAGGATTAATAATAATAATAATAAGCCTTACATTTTGATAGAGCCTTATCACAAGTTTGCGACGTCTCAAAGCGCTTCACATAATATACTGTAAAGTGTAGTGACTGTATATATTTTGTGGGCGAATATGGCAGCCAATTACGTACAGCAGTGTCCCACAAACTGTCGTGCATTGAGTAACCACATTATTTTTTTTTAAAGGGATTATTACCCCCGGATAAACAATCCGTCAATCGACTAACAACAAGCAGATGGGATGTTGATTTAATATCTCATCCAAAGAACAGCAATATCTCACCCCAGCGCCTTGGGACTTCCTCCCGACTTGAAAGGAGCTGTACAAATGTAATTTGTTGTTGTTGGTACCTCCAAAAATGCAACACCCCCCAGTGCTGCACTGGAGTGTCGGCTTAGTTAGACTATGCGAGTTTAAAGTCCTGATATGGGGCTTGCATCCACAACCTTCAAAATTCATGAGGCGATAGTGCTACAGACTGAGCCAGGCCGACACCAGACGACATGATATATAGTAAACTTCTGGCCATACCTGGTAGTAATCACCATTGTAGAAACATCCACATTGCTGCTGAGGCACACACTGGTCTCCGCTCTGCACAAATCCTTGGTCACACTCACAGCCCTCGGCACAGGGCTCGTCACACGTTGGGGGTCTGGGGTTGACGCAGGTGGCTGGACAGGCCGACGCACACGGATCATAGTGGCTGTTGGCTGGACAACGAAGAGCTGGAGACGGAGAAGAATTGATGTTAAATGATAATAATAATTCTTGCATTTCGAGGGCAGGTAGTAAGTGGAATAGTACTGCTGCTACTACTCATAATCTTTGCATTTAATATTGGCCCTTATCATGTCGTTGAGACGTCTTCAAGCGCTTCACAGAATATATTGTAAAGTGGACTCTGTATTTTGTGGGTGAAACGCGGCAGCCAATTGTGCACAGCATATCCCACAAACAGTCGTGCATTGAGTGACCAAATTATTATGTTTTTTGAAGGGATTACTATCCCCGGAAAAATGATCCTCCAATTGACTAGCAACCGGATTCCTACTTACTGCTAGGTAAACAGAGGTAAATATAGTACGTACGGCAGAACGTGTCGTTTCTCCAGGAGTCGATGGTGATGTTGCGTTGCTGACACTCATTGACATAGGCCTCCAAAGCTTCGCACAGCTCTGTCTTACTGCCGTCCAGCTCACACATGTCGTACACACAGTCGTTGAAGAAGGACTGAGACAGGAGAAGCAGCAGTTAGAGGGAAATGGATCTTCAGTTTCCATCAGGACAACAACCACAACAAATAACATTTACACAGCGCCTGCCTTTCAATTTGCATTGTATTGTGCAATGTACATCCGCGTGCGCTGTGTGACTGTGTATGTATACACATCTGTGTACGTGCATTGTTCTACATGCCTGCATCCATGTGTGCACAACATTGGGAATACTCGCTATTGATATTGCGGCTCTCTATAGTTACCGTGGGGCTAATCTTGTAGTGACAGGCGGCAAATGGACCGAACGGATCCACCAATATCCCACAGTATGCAGGTCCCTGGTATTTCTCAGTCTCTTCTTCACTGCATTCCGGTTCCACGTCACTGCCTGAAGACGTGCAGCTGTAAAACAATGAGCCAAAGTTTTAGTAATTTGATCCCTCAGCGGGCTGCCATTCTACAAACTCCCTGCATGAACACTGTGTAACCGTACTGGTACCATGCAATAATAACAATAATCCTTGCATTTGATTTAACACCTTCTCACGTCTTCGAGACGTCTCAAAGCACTTCACAGAATATACTGTAAAGTGCGGCGACTGTATATTTTGTGGGCAGCCAATTGCGCACAGCAGTGTCCCACAGTCTTGGATTGAGTGACCAAATTATTATTTTTTGAAGGAAAAGTGATCTGCCAATCGCCTAAAAAACAGGTTCCTACTTACTATTAGATAAACTTGTCCAACTTTTTGCCCTGCCTGGGAATTGAACCCAAGTCCTCTCACTTGTGAGGTGAGTGCACTGAGTTACAGGACTCCACGTGTCTGCTTCCTCAACTAATGACCCGAATGCAATGAATATACCCCCTTATAATGCAGGCTCTGATTTTATGATCCAAACCTTTGTGTTATAACAAGATGGTCTCCAGTCGTGTTTCTAACTACTGCAGTCAATTTGCGCCCAGCACAGCAACAGCTAACGCCCTCCATCCTGCGGGTTACTTACTTCTTGTCCACATTCCAGCTGTTCCCAAAGTCGTTGACATTCTTCACCAACTCTCCTGTGGGAGTCTTGAAGTCGTCAAGTGGGTTTGTATTGTAGTCACCGCACAGACCACACAGCTCACCAGAATAGCTGTAAACAGACAACACACATCAAGCTGTGAGTTCAGTGTGCACGAGAGTGTAAGGACAGTGTCATACAACAAATGCCATTTACAAAGTGCCTTTCACGTCGGGAGGACGTTCCAAGGCGCTGGACAGTCAAGGAATCCGCACCCGAGCTGGTGGTTAGGGATCAGGAGGGGTGGAGAGCAGGTACTGTAGGGGTAGGAGGGTGACCGAAGGCTCGGTTGAAGAGAAGGATCTTGAGACGGGTCTTGAAGGAGGCAAGGGAGGGGGCGAGGCGGAGGGACTGTGAGATGGAATTCCAAAGTGTGGGGGCGGAGAGGCTGAAGGCCCGCCCGCCAATGGTGGGGGGGGCAAGGCGGTTAACACTGATATACCCAACCTCCTCACTGTAAGACTCTTTTTCTCGATGAATTACACTCACTCGTTTGGCACTTTGACCTGGGCATTGTGGTTGCCATCATATCTCACAATCAAGCCGAAATCTGTCTCCACAACAACATGTTTGCCGTTTTGCTTGATCGTGACTCCGGACACTGGTTTGTTGGGCACCGTCACAGTCTTGTCATTGACCTGGAACAAAGCACATCACTCATCAGATTTCAGCATTGACTGCCTGCCACCTCCTCAATCACTTTGCCTTCAATAACAAGCACAGATGTGAACTAGCCCTCAATGACATCTGGAATGACCACAGGAAATGATGGCGAGACCTCAATACTATACTGTATCAGATAGACAATTAGAAAGTCATTCACTAACCTCTAGAATATTAATAATACTTTTTTGAAGGGATTATCATCCCCAGAAAAAAAAGCAATTCGTCAATTGACTGACAATGGAGTTCCTACTGACTGCTAGGTAAACAGAGGTGTGTGGGTATGGAGAGCAAAGGAAAATTGCCCAACATTTCGCCCTGCTTGGGAATTGAACCCAGGTCCTCTTGCTTGTGTGTTAGGCAAGTGCTCTAACCACTAAGCCACAAGACTTCACAGACAGAAATAAAAGTACACAGCACATTTCCCTCAGCTTACTTTAACGACACTCCTCATCAGTCAGCAGAAAGTGGGTCACATTGAACATTAGACGTCTCCCAGACAGGAAGGGAGGGGCGCTCTTTTCTCACCTGGACAACTTTCTTCTTGAGTATGGACACGGTGATCCCGTACACCTGCACATAGACGGCTTTCACATACGACACAGTTTTTTTCCCGTTCCTATGCTCGTTGGATGCGTACACAGCGAATGGGGTCTGTGTGGAGTTGCAGGTCTGGGACATGACGTACGTACAGTTTCCATGGAAATTAAACTTCTTCTTGTCAAAGGAGGTGTAGTGGGGATCTCCAGATGCAGTACATGTGGATGAACCTAAGGAGGTAACGGGGAAGTTCACACTGTTTAGCGTTTGTCTTCTTGTTGAATTCTCTCCCAGGGACAAAGGAAAGAAGCAGCAGCGAATTTGATGGAATGTTCGAAAGGATGTTAATGACGGTTAAAGTGTTGGCCCTCTTTACCTTTAGGGTAACAGCCCTGAACACCACCTTCACTGCCACAGTACTCGTCCGGATCACAGCTTGTATCTTTGCACTTGATGTTGTTGCTTGACTGACAAGTACATACTTGGTCACAGGCCTTAGACCAGATCACCTCACCTGGCTAGAACAAGGAGAATTCAATCAGAAATACAATGTACTTGGCGCCTGAAATTAATTTCTCAGATTTGCAAGAATTCCTTGTGACATTACCTGATATTCGGTTCCGTTGTAAAAACAGCCACATTGTTTTTTGGGCACACACTGGTCTCCGCTCAGTACAAATCCTTTATCGCACTGACAGCCTTCCACACAGGGGAGGTCGCAGGAAGGAGGTGTAGGGTTAAGGCAGGTGGCTGGACAGGCTGACGTACAGGGTTCGTAGTGGCTGTTAGGTGGGCATGTGAGAGCTGGAGAGAACAGGCACAGAGAAGCATGTGAAGAATCGCTGTTTTAAAATTGATTTGGCGTTTACGCTGATAATCACTCTCATTGGTACGTACGGCAGAAGGTGCTGTTTCTCCAGGAATCGATGGTGATGTTGCGTTGCTGACACTCATTGACATAGGCCTCCAAAGCGTCGCACAGCTCCGTCTTACTGCCGTCCAGCTCACACATGTCGTACACACAGTCGTTGAAGAAGGACTGTTGGAAGAAAATAGATTGGAGCTTCAGATGTTGATGCTTCTCATAGTGAAGACACATGAGTCTCTTGGTGATAATCACAAGCTCTTTATGTCACAAGTTTGGGCGGTGAGGTGAACGGGAGGAAATGAATGAAGGAATGAAAGAAAAGGAGCTAAGACAAGGAAGTGGACATACCGTGGGGTCAATTTTGTAGTGACAGGCAGCGAAGGGGCCGAATGGATCCACCAATATCCCACAGTAGGCAGGTCCTTCATATTTGTCTGTCTCTTCCTCAGTACACTCTGGGTCCACATCACTGTCAGTCTTGGTGCAGCTGGGTAGTAAGGCAAACATTTTAAGCCAACATTAGCCAACACAGAGAAGGTTGTATGTTCATCTCTTTCGCCAATCCTGCTTGATGTTGTCCAGAGGGACAAGACATTCTTTAACTGAACATATTAACCAACTTATTCGTGTACTTCACAGACCAAAGAAACCAGTATCGTCTTCAAAGCTTTTAAACTTACTTGTCGTCCACGTTCCAGCTGTTCCCAAAGTCATTGACGCCCTTCACCAGCTTTCCCTCACGAGTCCTGAAGTCATCACTGGGGCTTCCATTGTAGTCACCGCACAGGCCACACAGCTCGTCAGCGTAGCTGCACAGAGATAACATAACGCCTTTAGCTGTGATTCATACAGACGTGAAATATGCACAGAACAGAAAGCAGATGCAACTTCAGAGTGTCATTGTTATTAGCAACGAGTCCTGAAGTGACTTACTCGCTGGGAACCTTGATGTCCATGTGATGATTGCCATCGTATCTAACGATCAGACCAAAGTCAGTCTGTACGACGACATGTTTGCCGGATGGTTTGATGGTGACCTCACGGACTGGGTTGATTGGGACAGTCACAGTTTTTCCGTTCACCTGAAATCAAAACATTGATTAACACAGGTAATCAATATTATTGCTGCCGTTGCTGCAGTAAATAGCCTCAATGCTGTTTAACACAGAGTTGGTTTCCTATTTGAATTAATCGTATGAACAGTTAGAGGGCAGGACAGTTGTAATCTTTCTCAAAGTCACTCGGAATACTGAATGTGGGGTATTGGAATACTGTAGGTGTTGTGTAACTGCTGTCAGTAGCTGAGATTAGGTATTGTGGATGAGGAGCTCTTGTCTCACCTGGACAACCTTCTTCTTGAGTATGGACACTGTGATGCCGTACACCTCCACATAGACGGCTTTCACGTACGTCACAGTCTTTTTCTTATTCCTGTGCTCGTTGGATGCGTACACAGCGAATGGGGTTTGTGTGGAGTTGCAGGTCTGGGACATGACGTACGTACAGTTTCCATGGAAATTAAACTTCTTCTTGTCAAAGGAGGTGTAGTGGGGATCTCCAGATGCTGTACATGTGGATGAACCTGAGGGTGAAGTTCACACTGTTTAGCTTTACATTTCTTGGTGAATTCTCTCCCAATGACAAAGGAAAGAAGCAGGAATGAAATGATGGAACATTGGAAAGGAAGTTAATGACGGTTAAAGTGTTGGCCCCGTTTACCTTTAGGGTAACAGCCCTGAACACCACCTTCACTGCCGCAGTACTCGTCCGGATCACAGCTTGTATCTTTGCACTCAATGTTATTGCTCGACTGACACTTACACACTTGGTCACAGGCCTTAGACCAGATCACCTCTCCTGGCTGCAAACGGAGAAATCAATCAGAATTACACCACCACCACCAACTTGCATTTATATAGCACCCCTCATGCAGGGTAGCGTCCCAGAGCGCTTGACAGTGGCGGAGCACGATGCCAAACTGGGGGGAGGTGACTGTAGGCACGGTCGAAGAGGAATGTCTTCTGGAGCGATGTGAAGATGGGGAAGGAGAAGGCAAAGCGGAGGGATTGAGGGAGAGTGACTACAATGACTGGAAAGAAAAAACTAAATGCAAAAACCTGCAACAAAACCGATGCAATGTCCAGCGCTTAATGCCTGAATTTGACTGCTCAGATTTGCAAGAATTCCTTGTGACATTACCTGATATTCGGTTCCGTTGTAAAAACAGCCACATTGTTTTTTGGGCACACACTGGTCTCCGCTCAGTACAAATCCTTTATCGCACTGACAGCCTTCCACACAGGGGAGGTCGCAGGAAGGAGGTGTAGGGTTAAGGCAGGTGGCTGGACAGGCTGACGTACAGGGTTCGTAGTGGCTGTTAGGTGGGCATGTGAGAGCTGGAGAGAACAGGCACAGAGAAGCATGTGAAGAATCGCTGTTTTAAAATTGATTTGGCGTTTACGCTGATAATCACTCTCATTGGTACGTACGGCAGAAGGTGCTGTTTCTCCAGGAATCGATGGTGATGTTGCGTTGCTGACACTCATTGACATAGGCCTCCAAAGCGTCGCACAGCTCCGTCTTACTGCCGTCCAGCTCACACATGTCGTACACACAGTCGTTGAAGAAGGACTGTTGGAAGAAAATAGATTGGAGCTTCAGATGTTGATGCTTCTCATAGTGAAGACACATGAGTCTCTTGGTGATAATCACAAGCTCTTTATGTCACAAGTTTGGGCGGTGAGGTGAACGGGAGGAAATGAAGCAATGAAAGAAATGGAGCTAAGATAAGGAAGTGGACATACCATGGGGTCAATTTTGTAGTGACAGGCAGCGAAGGGGCCGAATGGATCCACCAATATCCCACAGTAGGCAGGTCCTTCATATTTGTCTGTCTCTTCCTCAGTACACTCTGGGTCCACATCACTGTCAGTCTTGGTGCAGCTGGGTAGTAAGGCAAACATTTTAAGCCAACATTAGCCAACACAGAGAAGGTTGTATGTTCATCTCTTTCGCCAATCCTGCTTGATGTTGTCCAGAGGGACAAGACATTCTTTAACTGAACATATTAACCAACTTATACGTGTACTTCACAGACCAAAGAAACCAGTATCGTCTTCAAAGCTTTTAAACTTACTTGTCGTCCACGTTCCAGCTGTTCCCAAAGTCATTGACGCCCTTCACCAGCTTTCCCTCACGAGTCCTGAAGTCATCACTGGGGCTTCCATTGTAGTCACCGCACAGGCCACACAGCTCGTCAGCGTAGCTGCACAGAGATAACATAACGCCTTTAGCTGTGATTCATACAGACGTGAAATATGCACAGAACAGAAAGCAGATGCAACTTCAGAGTGTCATTGTTATTAGCAACGAGTCCTGAAGTGACTTACTCGCTGGGAACCTTGATGTCCATGTGATGATTGCCATCGTATCTAACGATCAGACCAAAGTCAGTCTGTACGACGACATGTTTGCCGGATGGTTTGATGGTGACCTCACGGACTGGGTTGATTGGGACAGTCACAGTTTTTCCGTTCACCTGAAATCAAAACATTGATTAACACAGGTAATTAATATTATTGCTGCCGTTGCTGCAGTAAACAGCCTCAATGCTGTTTAACACAGAGTTGGTTTCCTATTTGAATTAATCGTTTGAACAGTTAGAGGGCAGGACAGTTGTAATCTTTCTCAAAGTCACTCGGAATACTGAATGTGGGGTATTGGACTACTGTAGGTGTTGTGTAACTGCTGTCAGTAGCTGAGATTAGGTATTGTGGATGAGGAGCTCTTGTCTCACCTGGACAACCTTCTTCTTGAGTATGGACACTGTGATGCCGTACACCTCGACATAGACGGCTTTCACGTACGTCACAGTCTTTTTCTTATTCCTGTGCTCGTTGGATGCGTACACAGCGAATGGGGTTTGTGTGGAGTTGCAGGTCTGGGACATGACGTACGTACAGTTTCCATGGAAATTAAACTTCTTCTTATCAAAGGAGGTGTAGTGGGGATCTCCAGATGCTGTACATGTGGATGAACCTGAGGGTGAAGTTCACACTGTTTAGCTTTACATTTCTTGGTGAATTCTCTCCCAATGACAAAGGAAAGAAGCAGGAATGAAATGATGGAACATTGGAAAGGAAGTTAATGACGGTTAAAGTGTTGGCCCCGTTTACCTTTAGGGTAACAGCCCTGAACACCACCTTCACTGCCGCAGTACTCGTCCGGATCACAGCTTGTATCTTTGCACTCAATGTTATTGCTCGACTGACACTTACACACTTGGTCACAGGCCTTAGACCAGATCACCTCTCCTGGCTGCAAACGGAGAAATCAATCAGAATTACACCACCACCAACAACTTGCATTTATATAGCACCCCTCATGCAGGGTAGCGTCCCAGAGTGCTTGACAATGGCGGAGCACGATGCCAAACTGGGGGGAGGTGACTGTAGGCACGGTCGAAGAGGAATGTCCTCTGGAGCGATGTGAAGATGGGGAAGGAGAAGGCAAAGCGGAGGGATTGAGGGAGAGTGACTACAATGACTGGAAAGAAAAAACTAAATGCAAAAACCTTCAACAAAACCGATGCAATGTCCAGCGCTTAATGCCTGAATTTGACTGCTCAGATTTGCAAGAATTCCTTGTGACATTACCTGATATTCGGTTCCGTTGTAAAAACAGCCACATTGTTTTTTGGGCACACACTGGTCTCCGCTCAGTACAAATCCTTTATCGCACTGACAGCCTTCCACACAGGGGAGGTCGCAGGAAGGAGGTGTAGGGTTAAGGCAGGTGGCTGGACAGGCTGACGTACAGGGTTCGTAGTGGCTGTTAGGTGGGCATGTGAGAGCTGGAGAGAACAGGCACAGAGAAGCATGTGAAGAATCGCTGTTTTAAAATTGATTTGGCGTTTACACTGATAATCACTCTCATTGGTACGTACGGCAGAAGGTGCTGTTTCTCCAGGAATCGATGGTGATGTTGCGTTGCTGACACTCATTGACATAGGCCTCCAAAGCGTCGCACAGCTCCGTCTTACTGCCGTCCAGCTCACACATGTCGTACACACAGTCGTTGAAGAAGGACTGTTGGAAGAAAATAGATTGGAGCTTCAGATGTTGATGCTTCTCATAGTGAAGACACATGAGTCTCTTGGTGATAACCACAAGCCCTTTATGTCACAAGTTTGGGTGGTGAGGTGAACGGGAGGAAATGAAGCAATGAAAGAAAAGGAGCTAAGACAAGGAAGTGGACATACCATGGGGTCAATTTTGTAGTGACAGGCAGCGAAGGGGCCGAATGGATCCACCAATATCCCACAGTAGGCAGGTCCTTCATATTTGTCTGTCTCTTCCTCAGTACACTCTGGGTCCACATCACTGTCAGTCTTGGTGCAGCTGGGTAGTAAGGCAAACATTTTAAGCCAACATTAGCCAACACACAGAAGGTTGTACGTTCATCTCTTTCGCCAATCCTGCTTGATGTTGTCCAGAGGGACAAGACATTCTTTAACTGAACATATTAACCAACATATTCGTGTACTTCACAGACCAAAGAAACCAGTATCGTCTTCAAAGCTTTTAAACTTACTTGTCGTCCACGTTCCAGCTGTTCCCAAAGTCATTGACGCCCTTCACCAGCTTTCCCTCACGAGTCCTGAAGTCATCACTGGGGCTTCCATTGTAGTCACCGCACAGGCCACACAGCTCGTCAGCGTAGCTGCACAGAGATAACATAACGCCTTTAGCTGTGATTCATACAGACGAGAAATATGCACAGAACAGAAAGCAGATGCAACTTCAGAGTGTCATTGTTATTAGCAACGAGTCCTGTAGTGACTTACTCGCTGGGAACCTTGATGTCCATGTGATGATTGCCATCGTATCTAACGATCAGACCAAAGTCAGTCTGTACGACGACATGTTTGCCGGATGGTTTGATGGTGACCTCACGGACTGGGTTGATTGGGACAGTCACAGTTTTTCCGTTCACCTGAAATCAAAACATTGATTAACACAGGTAATCAATATTATTGCTGCCGTTGCTGCAGTAAATAGCCTCAATGCTGTTTAACACAGAGTTGGTTTCCTATTTGAATTAATCGTATGAACAGTTAGAGGACAGGACAGTTGTAATCTTTCTCAAAGTCACTCGGAATACTGAATGTGGGGTATTGGACTACTGTAGGTGTTGTGTAACTGCTGTCAGTAGCTGAGATTAGGTATTGTGGATGAGGAGCTCTTGTCTCACCTGGACAACCTTCTTCTTGAGTATGGACACTGTGATGCCGTACACCTCCACATAGACGGCTTTCACGTACGTCACAGTCTTTTTCTTATTCCTGTGCTCGTTGGATGCGTACACAGCGAATGGGGTTTGTGTGGAGTTGCAGGTCTGGGACATGACGTACGTACAGTTTCCATGGAAATTAAACTTCTTCTTGTCAAAGGAGGTGTAGTGGGGATCTCCAGATGCTGTACATGTGGATGAACCTGAGGGTGAAGTTCACACTGTTTAGCTTTACATTTCTTGGTGATTTCTCTCCCAATTGCAAAGGAAAGAAGCAGGAATGAAATGATGGAACATTGGAAAGGAAGTTAATGACGGTTAAAGTGTTGGCCCCGTTTACCTTTAGGGTAACAGCCCTGAACACCACCTTCACTGCCGCAGTACTCGTCCGGATCACAGCTTGTATCTTTGCACTCAATGTTATTGCTCGACTGACACTTACACACTTGGTCACAGGCCTTAGACCAGATCACCTCACCTGGCTGCAAACGGAGAAATCAATCAGAATTACACCACCACCACCAACTTGCATTTATATAGCACCCCTCATGCAGGGTAGCGTCCCAGAGCGCTTGACAGTGGCGGAGCACGATGCCGAACTGGGGGGAGGTGACTGTAGGCACGGTCGAAGAGGAATGTCTTCTGGAGCGATGTGAAGATGGGGAAGGAGAAGGCAAAGCGGAGGGATTGAGGGAGAGTGACTACAATGACTGGAAAGAAAAAACTAAATGCAAAAACCTGCAACAAAACCGATGCAATGTCTAGTGCTTAATGCCTGAATTTGACTGCTCAGATTTGCAAGAATTCCTTGTGACATTACCTGATATTCGGTTCCGTTGTAAAAACAGCCACATTGTTTTTTGGGCACACACTGGTCTCCGCTCAGTACAAATCCTTTATCGCACTGACAGCCTTCCACACAGGGGAGGTCGCAGGAAGGAGGTGTAGGGTTAAGGCAGGTGGCTGGACAGGCTGACGTACAGGGTTCGTAGTGGCTGTTAGGTGGGCATGTGAGAGCTGGAGAGAACAGGCACAGAGAAGCATGTGAAGAATCGCTGTTTTAAAATTGATTTGGCGTTTACACTGATAATCACTCTCATTGGTACGTACGGCAGAAGGTGCTGTTTCTCCAGGAATCGATGGTGATGTTGCGTTGCTGACACTCATTGACATAGGCCTCCAAAGCGTCGCACAGCTCCGTCTTACTGCCGTCCAGCTCACACATGTCGTACACACAGTCGTTGAAGAAGGACTGTTGGAAGAAAATAGATTGGAGCTTCAGATGTTGATGCTTCTCATAGTGAAGACACATGAGTCTCTTGGTGATAATCACAAGCTCTTTATGTGACAAGTTTGGGTGGTGAGGTGAACGGGAGGAAATGAAGCAATGAAAGAAAAGGAGCTAAGATAAGGAAGTGGACATACCATGGGGTCAATTTTGTAGTGACAGGCAGCGAAGGGGCCGAATGGATCCACCAATATCCCACAGTAGGCAGGTCCTTCATATTTGTCTGTCTCTTCCTCAGTACACTCTGGGTCCACATCACTGTCAGTCTTGGTGCAGCTGGGTAGTAAGGCAAACATTTTAAGCCAACATTAGCCAACACAGAAGGTTGTATGTTCATCTCTTTAGCCAATCCTGCTTGATGTTGTCCAGAGGGACAAGACATTCTTTAACTGAACATATTAACCAACTTATTCATGTACTTCACAGACCAAAGAAACCAGTATCGTCTTCAAAGCTTTTAAACTTACTTGTCGTCCACGTTCCAGCTGTTCCCAAAGTCATTGACGCCCTTCACCAGCTTTCCCTCAGGAGTCCTGAAGTCATCACTGGGGCTTCCATTGTAGTCACCGCACAGGCCACACAGCTCGTCAGCGTAGCTGCACAGAGATAACATAACGCCTTTAGCTGTGATTCATACAGACGTGAAATATGCACAGAACAGAAAGCATATGCAACTTCAGAGTGTCATTGTTATTAGCAAAGAGTCCTGAAGTGACTTACTTGCTGGGAACCTTGATGTCCATATGATGTTTGCCATCGTATCTAACGATCAGACCAAAGTCAGTCTGTACGACGACATGTTTGCCAGATGGTTTGATGGTGACCTCACGGACCGGGTTGATTGGGACAGTCACAGTTTTTCCGTTCACCTGAAATCAAACATTGATTAACAAAGGCAGTCAGTATTGTTGCTGCAGTAAATAGTCTCAGTGCTGTTTAACACAGAGTCGGTTTCCATTTAAATTATTCGTATGAACAGATGGTGGGCACGACAGTTGGAATGTTTCTCAAAGTCACTCGGACTACTGAATGTCGGGCATTGAAATACTGTGTTGTGTTGTGCTGTCAGTAGCTGAGATCAGGTATCGTAGTGGATGAGGAGCTTTTTCTCACCTGGACAACTTTCTTCTTGAGTATGGACACTGTGATCCCGTACACCTGCACATAGACGGCTTTCACGTACGACACAGTTTTTTTCCCGTTCCTGTGCTCATTGGATGCGTACACAGAGAATGGAGTTTGCGTGGAGTTGCAGGTCTGGGACATGACGTACGTACAGTTTCCATGGAAATTAAACTTCTTCTTATCAAAGGAGGTGTAGTGGGGATCCCCAGATGCTGTACATGTGGATGACCCTGAGGAGGTAACGGGGAAGTTCACACTGTTTAGCTTTTCACTTCTTGTTACGTCCTCAATAACAAAGGAAAGAAACAGGATCGAAATGAAACATACACATTGGATGTTTTGCCAATATGTCTGGCTAAGTACCATAAATAATATCTCAGGATATAGTATATAGTTTGGGACACAACAGTCAAACAACTGCCAGGATGGTGGAAGTCAAACTGGATGTTCTTTATTTCCAGATATCTGGAGTCCAGTGAGACGGGGATGTAATGTATTTCAGTACTTAACACCAAGAAGGAAATAGCAAAATCTCACTGTACCTTTGAGGTGACATCCATAGACTCCATCTTTGTCTCCACAGTATTCATCTGGGGCGCAGCTCGTGTTGGTGCAGCGAATGCTGAAGTTTCCAAGACAATGGCAAACAGACGTACAGGCATCTGACCAGATGACTTCTCCAGGCTAGAAGCAGGAAAACAAATAAGAATAACTTCCTACAATTAGTGGCATACAAATTACATTGCCTGAGCCTGAAATAATGATAATAATCCTTGCATTTGGTATAGAGCCTTATCACGTTTTCGGGATATCTCAAAGCGCTTCACATTATATACAGTATATACTGGAAAGTGAATTGACTGTATATTTTGTGGGCAAAACGCGGCAGCCAATTGCACACAACTGTGTTCTACAAACAGTCATGGATTGAGTGACCAAATTATCATTTTTTTTTAGGGATTATTGCCCCCGAAAAGCAATCCGCCAATCAACTACCAACTGGGTTCCTACTTACTGCTAGGTAAGCAGAGGGATGTGTGTGGAGTAAGGAAACTTGCCTAAGGTTTCGCCCTAACCTGACCCGCCCAGGAATCAAACCTGGGTCCTCTCACTTGCGAGGCGAGTGCTCTAACCACTGAACGACAGGACTCCACAATGAGGAGAGGAGGGGAGAAAGTTGATGGAGAAAAATTCTTCTTTCCAGCTGGATATTCAGATATAGGAGACAGTTTTTATCAATGGTCTGATGACATCCTCACCTCATAATAATTGCCTCCGTAGTTACAACCACATTGCTCCTGAGGAACACATGCTTGTCCATTTTGGAAGAAGCCAGGGTCACAGAAACAGCCGGCCACGCAACTTGCTGTACAATTCGGTTTTGGGTTATCACAGGTGGGAGGACAGGTGGGACCACAGGGGTCGTAGTGAGAATTGGGTGGGCAGGAATCTGAAACACACAACAAAGGAAATTACAATAATATATAATCGTTGCATTAAATACAGCGCCTTATCACGTCTTCGACACGTGTCTTAAGTGCTTCAGAGGATATACTGTAAAATGAATTAACTCTTATTTTGTGGGCAAAACGCAGCAGCCAATTGCACACAGCAGTGTCCTACAAACATTTGTGGATTGAGTGACCAAGTTATTGTTTTATTTTTTGGGGGAGGGGTTATTATGCCCCAAAAAAGTGATCTGCCAATCAACTCACAACTGGGTTCCGAATTACTGCTACGTAAACAGGTTTGTGGAGTAAGAAAACTTACCCAATGTTTTGCTCTGGCCAGGAATTGAACCCTAGTCCTCGGTTGTGCTACGAAGCGAGTGCTCTAACCACTATACAACAGGACTCCACGAATAAAGAAAGACGCAGTGTCTTAGTGAATGTATGAGTCAATATTCAGCAACTGGTGCTTGAAACGGTTTATAGGCTAATCGTTATCAAGTTGGTTACATGGGTATGTGTGTAGAATAACAGATCCCTAGCAGTGAGTTACAAACTGGAGTGTGATTGAGGGATTCAGGCGGTTTCGATGCACAGAAGAATGTCACGTAACCTCATCCTGGGATATAATTAAGTATCAAATCGTTGCTCTTACCTGGTTTTTTGGTGGTGGTCGGCCCAGTTGGTGGTGATTTTGTGGTGGTTGTGACTCCTGCATCGTAAAGACAATATTACAGGCTGGAATGTAAGCAAGGGATTCAACAACAACAACAAATTACATTTACACAGGGCCTTTCACGTCAGGAGGATGTCCCAAGTTGCTGGACAGTGAGGGATTTGACCCGAGCTGGGGGTTGGGATCAGGAGGGGTGGAGGGCAGGGCTAAGGAGGGTGGCCGAAGGCACGGACGAAAAGGACGGTCTTCAGATGTGCCTTGAAGGAGGCAAGAGAGAGAGCAAGGTGAAGGGACTGTGGGATGAAATGACAAGGGGTGGGGGCAGAGAGGCTGAAGGCCTGACCGCCGATAGTGGGGTGAGCCGGGCAGGGAACTCTATCCTCTGAGGAAAGGGGAGCCGCTGGAGTTTGGTGAGGGTGCGGTCACGGAGCCTGATGCAGGAGAGGACACGAGCTGCAGAGTTCTGGATCTTCTGCGACTTGTGGAGGGAGGAGTTGGGAAGGCCGCAAAGCAAGGAGTTGGCATAGTCGAGCCTAGATGTAACAAATGCGCGGATGAGGGTTTGGGCGGCCTGAAGGGAGAGGCAGGGGATTCAGGCGGTTTCGATGCACAGAAGAATGTCACGTAACCTCATCCTGGGATATAATTAAGTATCAAATCGTTGCTCTGACCTGGTTTTTTGGTGGTGGTCGGTCCAGTTGTTGGTGATGTTGTGGTGCTTGTGGATCCTGCATCGTAAAGACAATATTATAAAATAACATGTCAATTCCTAGGAGTGAATTACAGACCTCTCAACCGGACAGAATGTCATTATTAGGGATTACATATATAGATTAATAGTTCCCTGACAGTGAGTTACAAACTGGAGTGTAATTGAGGGATTCAGGTGGTTTACATGTGCAGAAGAATGTCACATAACCTCATCTTGGAATATAATTAAGTATCCAATCGTTGCTCCTACCTGGATTTTTGGTGGTGGTCGGTCCAGTTGGTGGTGATGTTGTGGTGCTTGTGGATCCTGCATCGTAACAACAATATTTTATTGTAAAATAACATTCCTCGGAGTGAATTATAGACTACCAATCGAACAGGCCGGAATTTAATTTAGGGTTAGAGATTATTTATAGAATAACGGATCGCTGGGAGTGAGTTAATATTAATAACTGGGATCATGCTCTATTACACATGACCCTTATCAGCCTTTGCAGTATTATAGTGTACATAATCCACGTGTTTTGCAGCATAATCCCAGTTATTTGTAAATAACACACTTAAATTAGGATCATATCTAAAAGGCAGTCTGACGCTTGATAGAGAGGAATATCTTACCTGGTTGGCACTTTTCCACACAGAAACTGTCCAAGGCGATGTCTGATTTTGGGGTCTCACCTCGGATACCTTCAATTATGAACTGGAAAATAGCGGATCATTTCAAAATCACTGAAACTCTTTGAAACAGACGGTTAGCAGTAAAGGTGGTCAACTTTCCGCTAATAATAATAATAATCCTTGCATTTGGTATAGCGCTTTTCATGTCTTTGAGACATCTCAAAGCGCTTCACAGGATACAATGTAAAGTTATATTTAGAATAATATGATTGAATTACAGGCTGGAATGTAAACAAGGGATTCAGGTGCTTTAGATGTATGTACAAGGGTCCCACAAAGTCCTGTTACCCCCAAGGAAACTTGCCCAAAGTTTCGCCCTGCCCGTGAATCAAACCCAGTCATCTGGATTGTAAGGCGAGCGCTCTAACCACTAAGCTGCAGGACTCCACAAATAACACAACCGGGAAACGGACAAAATATATCCAGTGAAGTCGTGTCTATCAATAGTGGGGATGAAACCATGTGCCGACCACCAGATTTTAGGTGCCAGAGGATCCTTGAAGTCCAAGTCATTGCTTTCCAGTCAGCAGTTGCTGTAATTTTGCCGTGAACTAATAAATACAAAATTACATTTGCAAAGCGCCAACTAACAGAGGTACTGATCTTGAAGGCTCCTGCTCATCCCGTAAGAAAGCACCTCTTCCCCTTGACCAGACCTTTAATCAGAAACATGTAGCTGAACTTCAGCCTACCTGAATATCTGCGTTTCCTCTATAGATGGCTTCTGCCTTCTTCCAGCCTTGCTTCTGGTCTCCAACCAGGCTGAACAAGGGTTGGCCCAGACCGTCTCCTATTGGTGGAAATAATGATAATCATAATCCTTGCATTTGATACAGGGCCTTAGCACATCTTCAAGACACCTCAAAGCGCTACAGAATATACTGTAAAGTGAATTGACTGTATATATTTTGTGGGCAAAACGTGGCTGCCAATTGCACCCAGCAGTGTCCCACAAACAGCCGTGGATTGGGAGACTAACTTATTATTATTTTTTAACATGTATTTTTACAATTTTTTGGAGGGATTATTCCCCCCAGAAAAGTGACCCGCCAAACAACTGGGTTCCTACTTACTGCTAGGTAAAAATAGGCGTGTGCGGGGAGTAAGGAAACTTGTGTAACATTTCGCCCCTCCCGGGAATCGAACCCAGGTCTTCTCGATTGCGAGGTGAGTGCTCTAACCACTGCAACAACAACAAGATTACATTTGCATAGCGCCTTTTATGTCAGGAGGACGTCCCAAGACACTAAGCTGCAGGGCTCCACAATGTAGTGCTGGAGTTGCCATCCTTCGGCTGAGCTGTTACAAACTGAGGACATGTACATACAACTGTCCTCCACTCCGTACTTGCCTTGTTTCTGTGCATACACATTCAGCTTCATTTGAGTAGCAGTGCCAAACATGTAGTAATAGAATGACAATGTCAGGCACTCGCTTGAAGTGAAGGTTGTACTCTTTAGTAGGCTGATGTCCCCGGGATTCGTCCAGGCGGAGTCCAGCAACAAATATTTACCAACTGCAAGAAACAGGCAATAAAATAGAATCAAATGTAAAGTACTGAATAATAATAATCCTTGCATTTGATATAGCGCCTTATCACGTCTTTGAGACGACGCAGCAGCAACAACTTGCATTTATATAGCACCCTTCATGTGGGATAGTATCCCAGAGACATCGCAAAGCACTTCATAATAATAATAATAATCCTTGGATTTGATATAGCGCTTTTCACGTCTTCCAGACGTCTCAAAGCGCTTCACAGAATATGCTGTAAACTGAATTGACGCTTCACAGGTAGACTGTAAAATGCGACTGTATATTTTGTGGGTGAAAAGTGGCAGCCAATTGTGCCCAGCAGTGTCCCACAAACAATCGTGGATTGTGTGATCAAATTATTATAATTTTTTTAAAGGATTATTATCCCCGGAAAGCAATCTGCCAATCAACTAATAAGCAAGTTCCTACTTACTGCTGGGAAACAGGCGTGTGCGTGGAGTAAGGAAACTTGCTGAAAGTTTCACCCCAACCCACCCGGGAATCAAACCCAGGTCCTCTCACTTGCGAGATGAGCGCTCTAACCAATAAGTTACAAGACTCGAAGACAAACGAAAGAGGAGAAGATGGAGTGGAATAAATGGTACTTACGGCCTGGTTTAGAGTGGTCATCATCTGGCCCAGTGCCGTCAGTCTCAGTCTCCCCTGACCATTGTTCCCACAATGCCAAACCCTCATTAGTCCAGCCACACAGATTGTCCATTTCATCAAACCCACAGCTGTGGATGCAACCTGTTGGAAGAAAAACATGTACTCCACACATGCTATTTTGCCGTCAATGAGAGTCATAGATTGAGTGACCAAATTATTATGTTTTTTGAAGGAATTATTTCCGCTGGAAAAGCGATCCGCCAATTGACTAACAAGCGGGTTCCTACTTACTGCTAGGTGATCAGGCGCGCGTGTGTGTGCAGTAAGGAAACTTGCCTAAGGTTTTGCCCTGACCCACCCGGGAATCGAACCCAGCTCCTCTTGCTTGCGAGGTGAGTGCTCTAACCACTACACGACAGGACTCCACGCAAGTACCTCACAAGCGGATATGGGTTCAGGTTAAGGGAAGCATGAAAACTGGTCTGGTCAGAATCTACGTGCTGGTGAGCTGAGTGCCCTTTCCTCATTCCAACATCCCAATTCTTAAATAACACGATAAGAATCAGCAACTCAAGCCAGTTCCAGAAACAAAACTTACCGGAGCAGGTTCCTCTCCGGATCAAAATATTGTCCAAAGCACTGTCAGCTGAATTCGTGGCCCCTCGAACAGATTCAAAAATCACCTGTTGTATTAGGCAGAGTGTTACACACAAGTAAGGCAGTTCACACAAAGTAGTAACAGCGACAAATGACATTTACGCAGCATCTTTCATTTTGTCCCAAGACGCTGGACAGTCAGAGATTTGGACCCGAGTGGGGGGTTGAATCAAGAAGGGTAGAGTGCAGGGAGGGTAGGGGTAGGAGAGTGGTGGAAGGCACGACCGAAGAGGAGGGTCTTGAGATGTGCCTTGAAGGAGGCAAGAGGGGGAGTGAGGCGAAAGGACTGTGGGATTGAGTTCCAAAAGGTGGGGGGCAGAGAGGCTGAAGGCCTGACCGCCAATGGTGGTATAAAAAAAATAAAGCAACTAAGAAATAGTTAATTCAAACTGCCTTACTTTTATACTAGTTGACGTCATGTAGTTGAGATCGATTGTTCCAAGTAACCAAACATTACTCTGTATTCCTTTTGAACTCCATTTCTTCTCGATGGTCGACGTTTCCACGTAGACATTCAGAGCATTGGTTGAATCAATTCCATACATGAAATATCGGAACTGTACACACACATCTCCCGATACTGTCACAGATGGGCTGTTCAGCTTGGCAGCCTGGCCGTCAGTGAAATCATCAGCCTCTTGGTAGATATAATAACCAGCTGCAATTCAAACACAATGATGTCTGGTCACTCACTCCAACCGTTCATTTATTGGATCATTTCACTTCTTTTCTGCTCATCATCAATAATAATAATAATCCTTACATTTGACACAGCGCCTTATCGCATATTCAAGATGTCTCAAAGCGCTTCACAGAATACACTGTGAAGTGAATCGACTATATTTTGTGGGCAAAACGCGGCAGCAGTGTCCCACAAACAGTCGGGGTTGAGTGACCAAATTTTTTTTTTTTTTGAAGGGATTATTAGTTCTGGAAAAGCGATCCGCCAATCGACGAACACCTGGGTTCCTACTTACCGCTAGGTAAACAGAGGCTTGTGTGTGGAATAAGGAAATTTGCCTAAGGTTTCACGTTGATCCGCCCGGCAATTGAACCCAAGTCCTCTGGCTTGCTTGGCGAGTGCTCTAACCACTATCTTACAGGACTCATAAAATCAAATGAATCACTGGGTTGTTAGGATTATATTCAGAATATCTTCTCAATTAGCGTTAGTCACTTACTTCCATCTGGATAATCTCCCTCAGGACCTGTGATTTCAGTTGGGGTTGAGCCAGAAATTCGTTTCCAATCTCCTTGATCATTCGTTGCTTGAGACCACTCACAGAGTGGCTTTGAATTGTCATTGAAATCACAGAACGTTAGAATATCTATAAGATAAGAACATAAAAATTTGCTGGGTGAATAGATTTGTTCTGAATTTTACCCGCCATTAACTATAGGAGTGGTTCAATATACCAACACGTACGGCAGAAACTAAAACAAGTTATGTATTGGGATCGGTTTGCAATTGGGCTGCAAGTTTACCGTTTATCAAGTCATTACAGAATCAAGGCAAAAGTATTTCAGGATTGAAATTCTGGGTTAATCATAGAATCATAGAATCTTACTGCACAGGAGGAGGCCATTCGGCCCATCGTGCCTGTGCTGGCCCTTTGAAAGAGCTAACAACTCTCTGGGTAAAAAAATGTCTCATTGACTCCTCTCTGATTTTTTTGCCAATTATCTTAAATCTGTGTCCTCTGGTTACCGACCCACCCGCAGAGGAAACAGTTTCTCCCTGTCTACGCTACTCTACTGATGAGTCAGATTGGCTGTAGTAAAGCTGTGGGCAATTTGGTTATGTGGTGGAGATCAGGTTGTGACCTTTAACAGATATCACAAAGATGGAGCATTCATCCAAGGTTGGGTGTAAGTCCAGAGTCTAATATGCACCACCCAGCCCTTCCCAAAACTCTCAATGCTCCCCTCCATGTTGAAATATTTCCCTTAGGACCTTCGGTCATATAAGAATATAAGAATTTGCTAGGCGAAGAAGACTAAAAGTTCCATCTAGTTCGCCTTCCACCATCCTGGCAGTCACTTGACATGTTGTGTCCCAAACTATAATACTGTCTCCCCCGGGTATTATTTTCTAGCAGAAATCTATCTCATTTGTTCTTGAAACAAACAACACTTCCTGCTTCCACCCGGGAACCTGTTCCACACTCTTACTACTCACTCACAGAAGTAGTGTTCCCGCAGATTTGTTCTGTATTTACCCCCCCTTCAATTGCAACCCATGTCCTCAGGTTCTACTGTTCAGTACACGATAAAACAGCTTATCAAGGTCTACATTATCGTCCCTTCAGAATCTTAAAGACCGTAATCATATCACCACTTCTCTTCAGCTTGAACATGCCCAGTTTATCTGATCGCTCCTCTATATTTCCAAGCCTGTACTGTACTGACCTGAGTTAGTACTGGAGAGCTCTGAAACGTTTACTTTCCCATGTGAATTTCTGTCTGGTGGTTTTCTTGGTCTGTGGAGAAAACAACAGTGATTATCTATAATCCCTTAAGGTAAGTAAAAATAATAATAACCTCGAGACTCCTCAAAGTGCTTCACAGAATATATTGTAATGTGAATTGACTATATTTTGTGGACGAAATGCGGCATCCAATTGTGCACAGCACTGTCCCACAAACAGTCTTAGATTGAGTGACCAAATTTTTTTTATATGAAGGAATTATTATCCTGGAAAGCGAATCGACCAACACATATTCTGTGAAGCGCTTTGAGCCGTGTCAATGATGTGATGAGGCACTATATCAAATGTATGAATCATGATATTCAGACACTTGTCAATATGTGATTAAACTGCTTTGTTGGACCTACAGACAAACTTTGATTCTGGTAAACGTGGGTTCTTCACTGGCCCGACGAGGTGAGCTTACTAATACCCTTATCACCTCCAAAGAATTGCAAGTGTTTTTATCCTAAGCTTCAGTGTTTTATGTAGCCCACACTATTAGCGTTTTACATAGTAGTGTTGTCGGGCAATAATAATAATAGTCCTTGTATTTGACATAGCACCTTATCACATCTTCGAGACGTCTTAAAGCGCTTCACAGAATATACTGTAAAATGAATTAACTGTACTCTTTGTGGGAAAGAGTGCATTATATAACCAAGTCATCCAACAAAAAGAAATACATCTAGTTATTAGCAGCAAATCTTATGATTTCAACTGCCTTAAAATTTTATGACAAACTATTTGACGTGATCATTAATAATAATTGTTACATTTAATATGGCACTTACAATAGTACACAAAATATACCTTCAACAACCGAGTTAACGCAAGTATTATTATTATTATTCATTCAATTAATCTCAAAGACAGTCTGTGGCCATTTAACAGAGAATTTTGCTATTTATTTTACAGACTGGATTCAGAATCTTTATCTCCAAATTAATCATTGAAGGGCATATTCCAATTTGACTTCAATAAAACTGCACCGATATGTATTTACAAGCCCAGTGTGGATTCCTGTAGCTTATTTGTTAGAGCACTCGCCTCGCAAGCGAAGGATATGGGTTCGATTACCAGGTAGGGTGAAACTTTAGGAAAGTTCCTGACTCCACACTCCTCTGCTCACCGAGCAGTAAGTAGGACCCCGATCGCTTTTCCGGGGGTAATAATCCCTCCAAAAAATAAATAAAATAATAATTTGGTCACTCAATCCACGACTGTTTGTGGGACACTGCTGTGCGCAATTGGCTGCTGTGCTTCGCCCACAAAAATGTACAGTCGATTCGCTTTACTCTGTGAATCGCTTTGAGATGTCTCAATTGCAAGGATTATTATTATTATTATTATTATTAAAATCAGACCAAATTTCATATAAATCTACAGCTCTCACAAACAACGATAAAAAAAATTCAATGCAGGAGTACACTTACCTGGCTCCCGATGAAAGTCCAATAACACATAGAGCAACTGTGATAATAATTTCTGATTTATAATACTTTAAGCTCCTCATAATTAAATATATCCTAATCAGTGCGCTGCTAGGAGCTAGATGGGAAATGGTGACAGTTGTTTCTGCATATATAGGCAAAGGGGGGATACTTGATCAAAGGTTGATTGCGGTGGTTGGCCTCTATGACGTTTGCTGGAGGTAAATTGCAAGCTCGAGGCGTGTCAGTTAAAAAGACATATTAAAAAAAAAAGCTCTTATCTCAAAGGGTATTTTGGGTGAACTAGATATCTCAATAGGGTATTTGGTAATCAGGGACACAAGTCAAAGAGCCTGTATTGGAAAGTCAGAACCTGTTAAGGTTTCGCCCACAAAATGTACAATATTCTGTGAAGCGCTTTGAGACGTCTCGAATACGTGATAGGCCGCTTAATCAAATGCAAGGATTATTATTATTATTTTTATTACTATTAAGAATCAAAGGTGAAACCACAACTTCAGAAAATTCCCTCTCCCTCTGATTGCTTTGCGGGAGTAATAATCCATCTCAGAAAAATTAATACTAGTTTGGTCACTCAATCCACGACTGTTTGTGGGGCACTGCTGTTCTCAATTGGCTGCTGCGTTTCACCCACAAAATACAGTCAACCTATTTTACAATATATTCTGCAAAGATGCCCTGATATTGGTGATTTCTGAACACTGGGAACTCTGTAATAAATGGTCTCTGAATCCTGATGCACTTTGTTATATAAATTGTAATTACCCCCTTCGCACGTAGCTCATGCGAGTCCTGTAGCTCAGTGGTTAGAGCACTCGCTTTGCAAGCGAGAGACCTGAGTTCAATCCCAGGCAGAGGGCGAAACCTCGGGCAAGTTTCCTTACTCCACACAGAGCCATAATAATAATCCCTCCAAAAAAACAAAACAATAATAAATTGGTCATTTTCAATCTACGACTGTTTGTGGGACATTGCTGTGCGCAATTGGCTGCCGCGTTCGCCCACAAATATACAGTCAGTTCACTTTACAGGATATTCTGTGAAGCGCTTTGAAACGCCTCAAAGACGCGATAAAACGCAGGCATTATTATTATTGCAAATACATGTTGATGTGGTGAAGCCTCGTATCTTACTGTGCTCTCTGCCCTGTTTAGAAGAGTGTTTTTGCAGTGAACATTATTGCCTTGGAAACTGTCACATTCAGCCATAAAAACTTCAGTATACGCACACCCATTCTCTCCTTTTTTGTTCACCAGTAATAAATTGTTTTATTTCCCTGAACATTGTTGTCCACGTATACAGCTGAGCGTGCGTGAGCTTTTATTTTAACATTTATTTGATCCACACCCTCCCAGTGTTTTAACTGGACCAAGTGATAAAGGTCATTTTCTCAGTTTGAATCATTTCAGTGAGTGGGACAAGGTGTTTCCTTACCAATAAAAAGGGTAGGAAATGTACTGCATTTGGAGGCATTGAGGGGGGATTTAGGGTGTCGGGAGTATGACAACAGCGGCCCATATCTCATAGCTATGACATAATAATAATAATTTGGTCACTCAATCCACGACTGTTTGTGGGACGCTGCTGTGCGCCATCGGCTGCCAGGTTTCGCCCACAAAAATATAGTCAATTCACTTTACAGTACATTGCGTGAAGGGCTTTGAGACGTCTTGAAGATATGATAGGATGCTATGTCAAATGCAAGGATTATTATTACATTATCTCTCAACCCAGCCGTGAGCCACTTCCTGCCCCTTACCCTGCCTTCCCAGCTTCTGCTATAAGAACGTAAATTCATAGAAACCTATAGCACAGAAGGAGGCCATTCGGCTCATCTTTGAAAGAGCGACCAACTAGTCCCGCTTGCCTACTCTCTCTCCCCATAGTCCTGCACATCGTTCCTTTTTAAGTGCTTATCCAATTCCCTTTTGAAAGCTATTATCGAATCTGCTTCCACCACTCTTTCAGGCAGTGCATTCCAGACCGTAACAGCTCTCTGGGTAAAATTGAGTCCTCGTCTCCCCTCCGGGTTCTTTTTCCATCTGTGTCCTCTGCTTACCGACCCACCCGCCAGAGGACACAGTTTCTCCCCATCTACTCCCATCAAAACCCCTCATACTTTTGAACACCTCTATTAAATCTCCTCTCAACCTTCTCTGCCCTAAGGAGAGCAATCCCAGCCTCTCTTGTCGCTCTGTATAATTCTAGTTCCTCATCTCTGGTCTGATTCTTGTAAATTTCTGTATGTAAATTATAGGTGTGGACTGATTCCAGCCTAATTACCTTTTTTTTTAAAGTTTATGAGTTGATGGCTGTTTCGTAATGTATCAGTTGGATTGCAGTGAGCACAGCTTCTACACGACACAACCCTCCTATGTCACAAGATGATAATAATAATAATATTTACATTTGATACAACGCCATATCACGTCTTTGAGATGTCTCAAAGAGCTTCACAGAATATACTGCAAAGTGTAATGTTTTGTGTTTTGTGAGCGAAATGCAGCAGTCAATTGCGCACAGTAGTGTCCCACAAACAGTCTTGGATTGAATAACCAAATTATTATTTATTTTTAAAGGGATTATTACCCCCGTATGGAGTAAGGAAACTCGCCCAATGTTTCGCCCTGACCTAACCTGCTTGGGCATCGAACCCAGGTTCTCTCGCTTGCGAGGCAGTGCTCTAACCACTGAGCTCCAGGACTCCAGATGGGGCAATCAAACCTTCCTCAGCACATCCATCTGAATGCAGAAAGGGATTTGGACTTAAGATAACAGCAATAATTCTCTCATGAAACAAATGAATCATTGGTGTTTTTACGAAATCCTGTAAGTGCACAACCCTGGCTAGTAACAGTCGGGGTGCGGCTGTTTATAATCAATTCCACTATTGCTTAAAAACATTCCTGAGAAACAAATCAATTTGGAATCGAGGATAGTTTGCATTGTAAATCAGGGTGGTGATATAATCACTAGTGACTCAGGCGTGGGGAAGGGAAGGTTCAGGCAGCTGAAGATTGGGTTAGGGTTAGAGTTGGCTTCAGCCACTCTTTCTGATCACCCTAATGCAGTCGTTAATTATTATTATAATCAATAATAATCTTTGCATTTGATTTGGTGCATTTGATGTGTAGAGATTTCTCAAAGCATTTCACAGAATCTTACTGTAAGTTGTAGTGACTGATTTTTTGTGGGCGAAACGCAGCAACCAATTTCCACACAGCGATGACCCACAAACAGCCGTGGTCAATTTTATCTGGGGGTTGATGGCCAGGACACTGGGAGACGCCCTCCGCTTTTCCCAACAGCGCTGCAGGAGATCTTTAATGTCCAACTGAACAGGACACAGACGAGGAGTGAGTTGTAACTTGTGTAAATGTAACATAGCTACTACTTCCTACTGATATGACCCACCCATTGTGGAGTTCGATAGAGTAGATAGAGAGAAACTATTTCCTCCGGTGGGTGGGAGGGGATCCAGAACAAGGGGGGCATCATCTTAAAATTAGAGCCCGGGCATTTAGGAGTGACAATCAGGAGGTAGTTTTTCACCCACATTCAAAAGGTAGTGGAAAGCTGGACCTCTCTCTCCCTCTCCCAAAAGGTTATGGATTATGACTGGATCCACTCACATTGTCCAGACTGAGGTGGACAGACATTTGTTAGGTCAGTGTATCAGGGGATATGCGGCAAAAGCAAGTAAATGGAGCTGAGGTACAGTTCAGCCACGATCTTATAGAATGGTGGAATAGGCTCGAGGGGCTGAATGGCCGCCTCCTATTCCTATGTGAAATGTGTAGACATGAAACTACACCGGAAAGTTGCATAACAACTGCCTCACCCTTTGTCATACAATCATAGAATTATACAGCACAGAAGGAGGCCGTGCGGCCCATCGTATCTGTACCGGCTCTTTGAAAAGAGGTTTTCCAAATCAATCCCACTCCCCCGCGCTCTCCCCACACCCCTACAAACTTGTCCATCCCAAATAATTATCTACTTCTTGTCGATAACAACAAAAGTTGTGATGGAATCGCCTTCCACCGGCCTTTCAGGCAATGCATTCCAGATCCCAACAACTCGCTGTGTGAAAACATTTCTCCTCTCCTCCCCTCTGTTTCTTTCAACAGCTATTTTAAATCAGTGTCCTCGGGTTACCGACCCACCCACCAGTGGGGATAGGTTCTTCTTGTTCACCCTATCGAATCCCCTCATCATTTTTAAAACTTTTATTGAGTCCCATCTTAACCTTCTCTGCTCCAAGGAGAATAATCCCGGCTTCTCTGCCTCTCCTGATAACTGAGGTCCCCCATTCCTGGTACCATCCTGATAAATATCAGGATCTTATCAGGTATACACCTGAGGCCAGGACTGTGAATACAAATGGCAAACTTTCACCCATTCTACCTACTCTGGCAGCCAGGTCTCAGCACGTCGCTGTCGATAGAAACAAGAGTGTGTGGAGCTATTTCGACTGAATATAATCTCCAGCCCAAATCAAATCTTTGCGACTTCCTCCCGATGTCAAAGGCACTGTATAAAACGCAAAGATTATTCAGGATTTATAGTTCCGTGGCAGTGCTTCGGCGCTCACTGCCCTTCCTCCTGTACCGAGATTCTTATCATTAGGCACAAAGGTAAAGATCAGTCACATGGTCTCTATACCGCAAGGGCTGCCCTCATTTGATATTGATGTCAAGCAATGACTTGTAAACACAGTCCTCTGCCAAACAAAAGATAAATTCGAGCTGTGGTGCAATAGAGGATGACACCATCCGGATAGTCAAACCTTAATCAGGTCCTAATGATGAACTGTTTCTTTGTTGGTTCTGATTTATTTCTACAAGTCCTGTAGCTCAGTGGTTAGAGCGCTCGCCTCGTAAGCGAGAGGCCCTGGGTTTGATTCCCGGACGGGTCAGGTCAGGGCAAAACATTAGGCAAGTTTCCTTACACCCCACACACGCCTCTGTCAATTAGTGGATCGCTTTTCTGGGGGTTATAATCCCTCCAAAAAAGAAAATAATGTGGTCACTCAATTGACGACTGTTTGTGGGAAGTTGACCCTAAGTTTGTCCACAAAATATACAGTCAATTCAGTTCACGGTATATTTTGCTTTCAGATGTCTAAAAGATATAAGGCGCAGTATCGAATGCAAGGATTATTATTATTATTATAACCATATCAATTTCCAACTTCCTTAACCAACCTCAATCTAAACTCAGCAATGCCCAATTGCTTCTAAAACGTCCACCTATTGGTGGGTCACTGATTGAGCAAATCCTGCTAAATGATCTACATGAATCATCAGAAAGTACAGTTCAACCTTTGATCATAGAATCATAGAATTGTACAGCACAAAAAAGGCCATTCGGCCCATCGAGTCTGTGCCGCTCTCTGAATGGAGCAAATAACGTCAGTCCCACTCCCGGCCCTTTCCCCATAACCTGCAAACCCGTCCTCCGCAAATACCCGTCCACCGCAGTTTTAAAAGTAGTTATGGAATCGGCCTCGACCGCCCTTTCAGGCAATGTTCCAGATTCCAACAACTCGCTGCGTGAAAACATGTCTTCTCCCCTCCACTCGGCTTCTTTTAGAGACTATTTTGAATCTATGACCTCAAGTCCCCGACACACCCACCAGTGGGAACAGTTTGTCCCTTTCTATCCCATCAAATCCCCTCATGATTTTGAAGACCTCTATCAGGTCCTCGTAACCTTCTCTGCTCCAATGAGAATAATCCTAACCTCTCCAGCCTTTCCTCACCATCACGGTCCCTCATTCCTGGTACCATCCTCGTAAATCTCCTCTATACCCTTTCCAATACCTTAACATCCTTCCTATAGTGTGGGGCCCCGAACTGGGGCAGTGTTCTAACTGAGGTCTAACCAGTGTTTCTATGGGTTAATCATCACCTCCTGACTCTTGTACTCTATCCCCTATTTATAAAGCCCAGTATCCCATATGCCCTTTTTACAGCCTTATCTCCCTGTCCCTCCACCTTCAAGGATTCAGTTACCTGCCCCCCTCAGGTCTCTCTGTTCCTTCACCCCCTTAAGATTGTATTATCGCCTATATTGCCCCTCATTCTTTCTAACAAAATGCATTACCTCACATTTCCCCACATTGAAACTCATCTACAACCCGCAAGACAAACACCACGACCTGCCGATAGGATTCAACGCAACTCGGGAGCTTTTGGAACACTCAGTTGGTAGCGAACTCTCACCAAAGTTGTGGATTTCGACCATCGGATCTCTGTGCAGGTGACCATTCACCTCGTGGTGCTTTCCTGGTTTTCACTGGTTTCCTGGCCAAAAGGTCCCGTGGAGTCCTGGAGCGAGCGTTCCTGGGCGCGTCAGGGCAAAATTTCTGGAAGATGTGATAAAGCGCTATATCAAACGCAAGGATTATTATTATTTTATGTCCTCCCGCCATGAAACGGGCTGCAGAAAATGTAAGGATTATTAAGTGTCATATTCAATTTTAACAGGTTCCAGAACAAGACCAGTAACAAAACGACACAGAAAGCCGAGCGGGAAAGTGCTTTGTCATTTTTTTATTAGAACATTTGGAATGAAAAAGGAAAATACAATTTTGTTTGCAGAGCTAATACACAATTGTGGCCGTGGGTTTGAGAGAAAAAAAAAGCTATCACTTTGGCCACTTCCGAACGCCCCAAAACTGGGGTGAGAGAAGTCACGGAAGAGAGGGGCAGCATCTCTCTCGCTCCCTCCCTCCCTCCCTCCCCATTGGCAGGTTGGACACCAACTTGCTTTGAATACTTTGCTGCGTATTTAACCCTTAGTCTGTTGAGTAATCTCTTGTCAGTGACACAAGCAGTTTCCTCCGCGCCGCGTGTGTCCGCGATGCCAAAGTTTCCGTCACGGCAAAGGCGTCTCTCTCTCTCTCTCTCTCTCTGTGGCTTGTACAAGTGACCTTTCCCCGACGCCGCCAATTTCAACAGATTATCCAGGGGCGGTTCGCGACATTGGAATGCAGAAGGCAGTCCAGCGCGAAGCAACACGTTCACAGCCCGGATTTCAATGTGAAACCAATCGATTTGAAATTTTATACGACACATGTAAAGTAAGATCACCTCGCAGGAAAGTTCTCGTCAAAGCCGCCGCAGGTTTTCCTTCTCCACGCTCTGTCCCCGGCCGTGTCTGCTCCCCACACCGTAGCCTCCACATCTGTCCCATTCCCTCCGCTCAGTCCTCATTCCTGCACTCGTACCTTCTCTCTCCTCCTCCCTCCTTCCCACGACACTCTCTACTCAGTTCCCAAACCTTTCCAACCACAATCCATTAATTGCCATCAATATCATCCATTCAATTAGCTTCCCCCCACCCCCCCCCCACCCCATAAAGCTTGTCCCTATAGTGTCAGTGGACACAAGCAGAAACCATCACCATGTTTAAGGGTCTCCAAACCGAGCTGAGAATTCCATGTATCCACACACGGAAATTCCCAGAGATAGATTGTTGGAATGGAACGCTCTCTCTCTCTCTCTCTCTCCCTGGAGGAACACATCCTGCTTACCTAATTCCTGAGAGTATTAGGCACAGGTTGGCAAGAGCCAAGGTTTGGGGGGGGGGGGCAGAGTGTGCATTGGGGGTAACTCCTGGAGTCCAACCAGCTAAACCCACAGCTTGCCACTGAAAAGAATGAGGGGAGAGATAGTGAGAAGCAAAGCAACTCAATAGATCAGTTCCGAGGTTTCCCGTTCCCCGCCCTCCCCAGAGCCCAGCGCAGAGGGAATGTCATCCCCTGGTCGGCAGCGATGTGGATAAGCAGGCGCTTACCTCAGCAAACAACTTCAATGCAATAGGCACAAACCCATTCGGACGCAGCTATCTTTGTCCGGCTGCTGTACTCTGGCTCAGGAACCGCCGCTGACTGGGGTCTGACCTGTGGCTTAACCCACTTTAAGACAAAAGGGTTTTTGAACTAAACTTTGACACAATATTTGTTTTTAAAATGTTAAATGTGCTCTATCACCGACTGGATTACTTTTTTTTTTAAAAAAGTTAATAAATGTAAATAGAGGAAGGGGGGGGGGGGAATGGGTTAAAACTGCAAGATTTTATCCCCGAAAATCTATAAACCAGTGATTTTTTTTTAGCGTCAACACATTCCAATTATAAAGAATTTCCAACACAGTCCAATTGTGGAGTCCTTCAGCCTAGTGGTTAGAGCACTCGCCTCGCAAGCGAGAGGACCCGGGTTTGGTTCCCGGGCGAGTCAGGGCAAAACATTGGGCATAGTTCCTTACTCCCCATACACAAGCCTCTGTTTACCCCGGAATCCAGTTGATTGGCGGATTGTTTTTCCGGGTGTAATAATACTTAAAAAAAATCACTCAATCCACGACTGTTTGTGAGACGCTGCTGTACACAATTGGCTGCCGTGTCTCAGCCACAAAATATACGGTCAATACACTTTACAGTATACTTCTGTGAAGCGCTTTGAGACGTCTCGAAGACGTGTTAAGGCGCGATATCAGATGCAAGGATTATTATTATAATTTCATGAAATAAATGCATTGGCCTGAGCTCTATCAACAGCAATTTGGAAACTATATACAGTGGAAAATAGTCTGTTTAAGGTACAGGCATTAAGACATTTTTTCTTTTTAAAAATCCCTCACGAACACGAGTAAACTGACTCTCTGGCCCTACACACTTCCACGCAAAGTCTTCGGATAAATAAAGCCTTTTTGGCTGGTTCAGTCATCCCCAGCCCTCGATTTCTGCTCTCTCTCTCAGCGCTGTACCTGACTGCATCAAACCATCTATCTCCCTTCACGAGCCGCTCATTTAGCATAAACTCACCCGTACCCTCCCCTCCCTCCCTCCCTCCCTCCCTCATGCTCTCTCCGGCCGGCTCCACGGACGATGAAAATGCAAGTTGGCAAGATGTCTGGTTTGACCAATTCGCAATTCACTCCCTCCCCCACGTCAGGTTCCGTGCAATGCACTCGAGGTGTGACCCTCAACGTGAAAAGGCTCATCGATCAACAGACTGCAATGGCCTAACCTCCTCGGGAAGCTGAGGACGCTGGAGGTGTTCCCTCACGTCTGAAGTTTAGAGTGACTCAGTTCTATCAGGATTCCCTTTTGCTCACGTCCAGTGGTCAATGAGCTATATATCTAGGTTTTTTGGGGGTCAGCTGGATGTCTGGCACATGCGGAAACCCATCACCGTTGCTTAAGAGTCTCCAACCCAAGCTGAGAATTCCCCACATCCCACCTACACATGGAAATCCCAGAGACAGATTGTTGGAATGGAACGTTCTCTCTCCCGGGAGGGACGCTTCCTGCTTACCTAATTCCGGAGAGTATTAGGCGCAGGTTGGTGAGAGCCAACACTTGGTGGGAGCCCAGAGCGTGTATTGGGGTAACTGCTGGAGTCCAACCAGCTGAAACCACACACAGTTTGTCTGGCCAAGCTTTCCCGCTGCTTGTCCAGCGAGGACCATCCTCCCCGTTAGTTAGTTAGTTAGTTAGGGCTTTGGCTGCAGGGTCAAGAGGAGCCTGAGGGGGAGGATTCTCTGCCCCAGTGACTGGTCTGCACTTCCAGGTCCTGCCGATGAGCCGGGCCGGGCCGGGCTGTCATCACACATCTGGTTAGTTGCAAGTGGAACATGCCAAGCCTCGAGTAGCCAAACAACACACTGGTCTAACCAGACCCCGGCACAGACACATCACGCTTCAAAAACAAGGTGCCATCAACCGCAGATACTTCTGTTTTCCTGAACACCCATCTCTACCGAGGCTGCAATTCCTCTACAGATTGGCTGACCACTCACTCGCTCACTCGCACCGTTTATCCCAAAGAAGCAGTTCTGAAACCCCTTCCTGTCGTGGATGAAGGAAAAAAAAATACCCCCCAAAAAGGGGTTCTCTCTGGCGCTTATTG